TACACTGAATTTAAGCTGCAGTAACTGATATCTTCCCACTATATAAATTCTTCCACAAATCCGTCGACGAAAGCCTCTGGATGGGCAGCACCATACTGTTTCAGAAGGTCAAATTCAATAAAAACTAGTGGTGTTACATCAGCACATACTTTCTGGCATTATTTATGAATTTGTAATTTTCTAAAATCAGAGAGTTCAACGAGAAAGAGACCTGCACCACTCTTTTAAGGGTTTTTTGTTCTATCCAGGGGGGGGGGGGAATGAAAGCGGTTTTTGAGAAAATGTTTTTCTTCAAGCAGAATTTTTTCCAAAAACTACTATTTTTTCAAAAAAAATCGTACATGAGCTTTTTTAAAGATGTATTATTTAGAATAGATTTTGTTTAAGACAAAAATCACTATCTTCAAATGGGTAGTTTTCGAATGATAACGTTTTGCAATTTTCGAAAATACAGAGAGTTTGTCGGTATTAGGACTAATGCCAACTTCTTTACCATACTTTAATACATACAAGGGGAATATTTAAAGAGAAAACTTGGGGTTGTTTTTGAGTAAATAATTGTTCATAATTCCCTATATTTCACACACAATTACGCAAAAACTACTCAATTTTAGGAAGATTGAACGTGACCTTATTTCAATATCTACCTTTAAAGAACAGCATTCATTAAGAAAAAATCTCATTCTTCAATACTGCAATTGAACTAAGGCGCCTAAAAAATGTTGGACTTATTCAATTTTCGAAAAATCAGGGATTTCAATGAAAGTTAGGCCTGCGCCTGTCTCTAAAGCATAGTTTAGTCTATCCGAGGACAATGTCAATGAGGCTTCATATAAAGAACCCCCAAAGATTAATATATCCGTTTCAAACTCGCAGGGCTTCGAGTTCCTTTAAATCATTCAGGGAATATCAAGTTTGGATAAAATCGGCTGAGCGATTTAGATCTGAGATTAATCACGGACAGACGTTTTGCCTTAAATCAATTTTTCGGTATTGAGAAGTAACAAAACATGGATTCTTGTGAGTCCTTGATACTGAAAGATGGATTGACGGTAAAACGGAAAAAAAGATTGACGGTTCAAAAAAATATGTTCTAAAAAATCAGCTCTTTAAAATAGGTTGTGTACATTATTTTAAAGGGGAAGTTTTTGCGTAATTTCTGCTTTAAATTAACGCAATTCATAAAAAATAATTTTCTCAAAAATCTCTTCAAATTCTGTCCACATATACAAATCGAAACGCTTGAAATAATGGCGCAGATCTTGTTTTTGCCGAACAGTGAATATTCGAAAATTGCAAATTTAGAAATAATGCGAGGAACTATGTGCTGCTAAAATCATTAGTTTCTTTACATTTTTTCCTCGAATAAAGCAAAAGGACGCTTAAAAATGGCGTAGGTACAATTTGGAGTTGAAAGTTTGAAAAGTTACAAAATGTGAGGAAGTCTGTGTTGCAGCAACATTAGTTTTCATATCGGCTAGCAATAAAGGGAATTATTTATTCTCCCGTCTCCTTCTTTTTCAAATGTCTCGTTCCAGAGGGTGAATGGCGGCTGGTATGTTAACAACATTTTCTCTGGATTATTAAAAAGCGGGAGTAGATACCATTATTCTTCTTTAAGGTGTCGGACTGAGTTACAGTAGTTGAATAGCTCCTAGGAGTTTCAAAAACTCCGGGGATGCCGCAAAATTTGCATCGCCTATATTTCACGATTCTATCACGATTCTATTAGTCTAGGAATGTATTATACAAAACTAAAAGTATGCACCATATATACCATTAGGGTGCCCAGGAAGGAAACAACGAAACTGAAAATAACCTCTCAAGTCAATTTTAAGCTTTTTTTTGTCTAATAAACCCTTCCCGTCAGGGACTGCTGAGGGTCTGACAGGACAGGACGGGGCGGGAATGATAAAGGGCAGGGAGTGAATGCGGAGCAGAGAAGTGAGGGTCAGGCGGCGTGGAGCGGAGCGGAACGAGATGTAGCGGAGAAGAGCGTGGATGGGATATACATAAAATTACTTCGATTTCACACGTGCATCACCTGTCTAATAAATCATTCAGATAAGCGTGTACCCAACTATGTCGGCTTTCTTTCACCAGCCTCTAATAAAGTTAACTAAACTTTTTTCCCGAAAGATTAATATTTATAAATTTTGTTTAGCTTCGATTAGTGGGAAATCGTAGAGAATAATTTAAGGAATAAAATATAGTTTGCTGGACATTTTCTCTCAAAAAAAAAAGTTTGAAAACGTATATCTAAAATTGTTAGTTAATATCGCAATAAAATTAAATAGAACACTGAAGAACTATTTTTTTTTATAATTTATTTTTACCTTTCCTCCCTATACAATAGCATGGAGGAAAGATATTGGAATCACCTCAATAATAAAATCTCTAAATTTCTGTCTTGAAATACGTGTGTTTAATGTTCTTTTGAAATGTCACTTCGCGAACGCGTCAGGATTAAGGTCTATTAGTGCTGTTCCAAAGATTATTGAGATTGGTACAGGTGGCGAGTAGATACGCCAATATTAAAGCCATACATTTCTGTCTCAAGTCAATTTATCCCTCATTTGCAGGGGAGAACGCATCTGCCAAGAATTTTTTTTTATTATGAGTAGTTGAGAAATTTTGACACAAATATTGACATTTTTTCCAAAAAATACATAAACATCAATTTTAGAGTGAAGGCCACCCTATCTATTTTCGGGGGTGATCGCAAGAAGGCAATATATTCAATCTACTTTCCGGAAAAGTGACACTATCAGTACGTTTAGTATTCATTACAATATACAAATTATACATTTCATTACACTAAAACGAGGAAAAGTTTCGGGAAGTTCCGCATTTTCATTAGATTTAGTTGAAATTCGTGTTTATTAATAAAAGATAAGATTTAAGATAAGTTTGTTTGGTCTGCTTTGACTATGCTTTCAAACAAGATTCAGCATCACCGTTGTCTCTGCTGTGACCATGCCCGTAAGGTCTTTCGTTTCGAGTCTGGACAAAGGCAGGTTTACGATTCTAGCTAGACAGCTTTGTCGAATTCAGCCTCTGTCTGATGGAGGATTCTAGCAGTCGGCTTCTGAAAACAGTATACCGTTTTCCTTTTTTTCGATCAACATCAGGCGAAAGCCGGATCACACACAGACACTTACCACACAAACCGGGAGACCAGCTAAGAGCTTAGCATTCTGGCTGGATCCGGTCCTCACCGGCGGAGATATCTGCCGGTAAAAATCGGGAAACTGACTGTTAGGTCGCCGTCAGATCTCGTGCGCATTTCTTCCAAATTATGCGAAAACTACTCATATTTTAAAAAAAATTGTACATCAAGGTCTGTCATTGAAAAACATTTATTTTTAAAGAAAAATAATCCTTATTTTCAATGTATTTGTAAAAAGACTCAGAAAAATTTGAACTTTTCCAGTTTTCGAAAATTCAGAGAGAAGAACGAAACCTGCACCGTTATTAAGCATCCATTTGTCTATCCGGAGAAAAAATCAAAGATCGGGAGTTGTTTTTTTTTTAATGTTGAAGCATTATGAAAAGTGCTCCCAAAAATCAAAATATCTATTTCAAAATTGTAGAGCTTTGAGGTCCTCCAGATCGATCGGAGAAAATCAGTTTGAAGAAAATCTTCTGAACGGTTTAGAAGTTAGGGTTGACCACAGACAGGCGTATTGCCGTCGATCAATTTTTAAGTATCAAGGTTCCACAAAAAGGGAATTCTGACTGCACAACATTTTAGAGGAAGAATTTCACTAAATATAGGAGCGCGATTTATCCTCCTACGTAAGTAATAGTAAGGTAAGAAAGTAAAAAAAATGTATTTTTTAAGCTACTAAAACTCGTTTTGGGTTACATAGGGCACCTGAAAGGGGATAAGTCGTTCAATTCCTTTCGACATGAAAAATCGATTGGCTCATTTATTTCCCGGTTCCCTCGGGGATATTTGCAAGGATCCTAGAAAAAGAACTGTTCTAGATAGCTTCAATGCACCTAGGAGTACGTTGGAGAAATGCCGCCAAGTACTACACTTCCTGGCATTTGCATCAATCGTAATAACTTCATTAATCAGACTGCCGAAATTAAACTAATTTTGTAGTTAATCAAAAATTTAAGGTAGATTGTATTGATAGTTTCTCATGCAACTTTTAATACCGAAAAATGAACGCAGGGGTCAACAGTAACATGTTTAAAATTAATTTTTATTTTTAACTTGGTCAGCACAATTAAAACTTGTTTACCGGAAAAAATACCGGAGGCCTCACGCCAAGTTAGTGAACATTATTTCTCCAATAATATTTTTTTCAATACCGAAACTATCAGAAACGGCTGCACAGAAATAATTCCCGATGGCGCACAAGTTCTTGCAGGGGCAGTGAATTGTAAATACATCCATTAACATTAAAAATATGAAAATTTCACAATTTCTTCTTTCTATATGTGGAAAAAAGAACGTTTCTTGATCTTTCAAATTGCCCGGTGATTAGACTCAGTGGATCCGGAGCAGCAATGCCTTTAGTTGCAGAGAGCGCCGTTGCGCGCCGCCACAATGCAGGGCGAGGGCAGTGATTACACTTCTCTTTATCCACATAATCTCCCTACACGTCTATCGCACTATACACTAGAGCTCACTGGGTGATGGTGATAACTATTCTCCGATGTAAATAGAGTGACTTCTGACATTCTATCAGGGACGCGGACATCCAATTGGGATATTCTATCCCAAAAATTAAGTCATAACGAAGCTCTCGATTGAATACCCGCGACCAGCTCATAATAAATTATAAGAACCTCAACTTCAATTGAAACATAGAATAAGAGGATATAGGTCGATAACCATTCAATAATTTCGTACTCGTAACCAAACCACACAACATATGCAAGAAATAGAAACACACGACGAAAGTGTATTCCACTGTTATTCATGAATTGTTTCTGATACATGTGGGTGTGGATGTGTGGGTGTGAGTGAGTGAGAGAGAGATAGAGAGAGAGAACGCCTGTGTAATTTGAATAACCTTATTTCCCATTGGACTCTAGAGGATGCGCACAGATAGTAAAGTTACATTTATGTCCAGAACCAAGGGGCCATCTCAGTATTCTCTCAAAGGATCAGGGGATATTTTTCAAGAGAAGTCTTCTTGTATGGGAGCAACATGTAATAACACCATGTATCCTGATATTCGCAATTCTAACTACCCGCTTGTGGCCAATAGAGCCAATCTATCGATATATCGTTTTTGATAGAACTTCGAGAGTTCGATGTGAGCAGTTGCTTTCTGTCACCTGTGGTGCCGAAGAAGCAGCGTAATTTGTCCACGTTGTTTTTAAAGGAAAGCGTTAGACGAATATATTTAAAGATTAATCACTAGATATTTGCTTCTCCGATTCCTGTATTCCCGCTTTGCTCCGTGTGAAAAGATGGCGAATCCTAAATACGCAGATCTTCCTGGCATTGTAAGTGTACCAGCTGAATAATTTAATTCGGGACAATTTTAATCTAAATTGCTTGTGAGACAATGTGTAATGTTCTGTTTTTAATAGGCGTACGATCAGCCCGATGTATATGAAACAGAAGATCTTCCTGAAGCCGATCAAAACGCAGATTTTTATGAGGTTCGATTGTCATGTCTTTCTTGACATTATATGTGAATGGTTGTTAATATATTATTAACAGATTAGTGATGTAATGAAATGAGCATGATTGTTTCTCTTGGATGGTTTATGATTCAGTTTCTTAATTATTTTGGAATGCTTGATAATTTTGACTCCAGGAAGAAACCGATTCCATTGAACGCCTACATATTAGTGCAAATGAAGCATTTGGAAGATTTAAAGGGAAGTCTTTAAATGCAGCCAGTGTGGATTTCTCTGATCGTATTACAAAATCAAGACGCTCTGGCTATGAAGTGCTGTAAGTATTTATACATATTATAACAGTATTTTCTAATAGGCTTAATCCTCTGAACATTGTGTTGTATTTCAGTAACTGGGAAATAGTTGGTGAAGGAGAGAAAGAAACACCTTTACAAAAGTATCAAAGATTGCAGATAGAAATTAAAGAGTTAGCTGAAGAAGTCAATCAGTTGAAGGTATGTGGTGTGTTGTAATTTATTGGACTTCAAAAAGAGGAATGGGTATCCCTAGTTATTTTATGACATTAAATTACAAGTGGTAGCTAAATGAAAAGTAATTTATCATAACCATGTGAGCTTCTAGTAAAAAAAAACAATTGAGTTTTTTTGTAAATTTAAAAATGTGGGCTGTGCATGGTTTTCTTTGGTTGCCAATTGCTTAGAAGGACTGTGTAAATCAAAAAAAAGATCATGTCCCATATGTGCAGCATTTGCCTTGACTGTTCAAAGGGGAAGGCATATTGAACAATGCTTCAGAAAATGTATCAATTTAACTCCAATAGTTATAAGAACATCATTAACTTACTTTCGAAATTGAAGTAAATGTTATTGTAAAGAAGGTGAAATATCCTGTATCTTAGTCTCAACAGATGTACTGGAATGGGGAGAGATGAAAGAAAGAATGTAAATTTTAGTGATCCATTGGCCAAAGCACAAAAACAATTTCACATTTTTGTGAGGCCCTTAGGTTGCCGCTTCTCCTTAACCTGTCATCATGAAGAGCAAAAAAGAGTAAAATATTAATTTTTTTTTTTTTTTGTATCTTACAGATAATATTTATTGTAAGGAAGTAAAAAGACTTTTCCAATCATTCCTTCCTGCCCCTTACTTCACAAATCCAGGGTAGCTTGCATTTTGCTCTGTACTCAAGGTATATTCATCTTAAATCCAGCAAGAAATTAATAATGATATATTAAAATTATGTTCTAATCTTTAAAAATCTTTGGTTTATATGGTAGATTTTAACATCCTTGATTTTACTGAAAGTCAATATTTATTACTTTCTGAGAGACATTATAAAAGATGAAGAATCAGAGTAATGTTTAGTGGGTGGAAAAGTAATATTTTTTGGTATCATCTTAATAAGTGAAGTGCAGTCCATATTCAAAATCCTACATTTCAAATTACAAAATTTGGAATTTCTTTAAAATATTTGTTTGATATAAAAACATGCAATGAAGAATTATTTTTCTCGCAATAAATATGCTCTACATATGCGACTAATGACCTTAGCAGTTGATGCATCCAAACACTAAACTATCAATCAATCTAACAAATATTCAAAGATGTCTGTGATTAGAGGTGTCAGAAATCTTATGCATACATAAAGCTAACTTGTAAGAAAATTGTATTCCTTGTAATTGCACAATTTTAAATTTGCTATATTTAAATATTTAGTGTCACATTACTTTTGCAAATTTTGCATTTAGCCCTGGGTCTAAGCAATCAGGGCTTGACAGTAGATTTGGACAAAAAATATGTCCATATGAGATCTACTTAGCAACATGCATTCCAGTCATTTGCTTTATCCCTTATTCAGATTGAGAGGAGTAATGCTGTACTTAATGGCATAATCATTGCAGTAGGAGTCACCAAAGAGCATTACGTTTCATGAGAACATAACAAAATGAATTATGATTTCAGTTTTAAATTTTATTATTTATTTTAATTCATTGCGCCATTACTCTTACTAGGAATAATAAAGTATAATGCTGAAATCACAGTTCATTTATCAATTCATTCATACCCTTTTTTTTCTTAAATGTGACTCACTTTAGGAATTCCTTCTGCAGTATGTTTTGCCTACTGTTGTTGCCTTCTCTTCTCAGCCTGAAAGAGTGCCCTACAAATCATGTTGCTGTCTTGTCATCCTCTGTTTATTTTGTTCAATTTGAATATTCTCATTATCGATAAATTGCCAGTAGATTGTAAAGGTTTTGTGTAGTCCTATTAATAGGGCTGGAAAAAATTAAGATTATATTGATATAAAAGAATCAATTTAAATCAGGTTTATTTGATTTTTTAAAAATTGTATTAGATGTTTTTAACTTAAACCAAAATCATCAAGTGATTTATTTATCCTTAATTATTTTAAAAGCAGAAAAATGTTTATTAAAACATCAGTATTTAAATTTATTATTTAATTGTTGTAATTTTATTTTAAAAAAATTAAGATCCTATATATTTGAGGGGCTGGTAAATTACCGATCTAACCCACAAAATCTTTAAATGTGATTTACTGATAGTTTTGTGCTTCGTAGTTCAAATAAGCTTGTGGCACAATCTGTTATGTTTTGGAAAAAAGGCATTCTTTGTTATAAAAAAAGGACTTTTTTTTGTTCAATACCATTGAAAAGCACTTATTACAATTGAAAACAACTGAATTCATTGAAAAACTTATAACAATGTTAGACAGTTTATGAAATATTAAATTCTACTAAATAGTTGTCCTATTATCAAAAAATATATGGTATAAAGGTTGTTACTTGTGCACTTTCCCATTAACCCTTTAATGATCAGTGGGAAATATGCTTCCTGCTTAAAATTGAATTTTATCAGTTTACTTATAAAGAAAAACGTTAATATTATTAAAAGTAGTAAGTTTACTGTTTTCTTTAGTTTTAACAATATTAATTTTGTTTTTTAAATTATCTTTAAAGTCATTTTCTATAAAATGTGGCTTTAGCTAACATTTTAGTACAAATCTAGAATTGTGGGCACTGTTGCGGTATTAGTTTTAATATTCAAAAAATTGAATGCTGGATAAAAGCTAATCAATCATCTTAAGTTTATTAGTATATATCCCTACTACAATTTTTTTTTGTCTTTCATTACAAAAATTCTTCATTTTATTGTATTTTATATTGTATTATCTCAAAAAAGATCAATTACGTGAAAAAAATTATAAGAAATGTAATATACACTTAACATCTTTGTAATGGATTGAAGTCTTTGTATCTGAGTAATTTTTATTTTACAAATATTTAAAATACAAATATATTTTAAAATATTACAAATAATAAATATTGATTAAAATCATTGATTTTTTGGAAAAACTTGCAAGAAAAATGAAAACTTTGGGTTAAAAATATCTAATAAAGTGTTGTAAACATCACAGTTCGTGTCTTTGCTAAATTCAAAATGTTCAGAGGTTGTGTTGTTTATTGATTACACTCAGTTTATGTGCAAATAAACCTTCTTAATCTACCAATGTAATGGGATTGAATCATCCCAAAACATATTACAGAGAAGTTATTGATACATTTTTTTTATGTCATCCTACTTCTACGGTTCCATGCAGACACTCCAACAATAGTTCAATCTCATCTATTCTTTCTCATCCTCCAGTCATTCCCATTGTCTTTTAGGTATTTTATTTGTTCACTTAGCAAAACTGAGACCTTCCAAATCCAGCAGAGCACCTCCTATTTTGTGTTTCAGATGGTTTTTAATTGGTAATATTGATATTGAAAATGATTTTCTCATACAATCACAGAAAATTTAATATGTGGCCGGGTTGTTGGTGTGTGGTCTATGTAATTGGATTGTTGCAGGAAACAGGTGTGCCAGTAGGAGGAGACCAGCCCCCACCCGCTCAGCTGGCCCAACTGGTGGAGGCTGCCCAGCGACAGTTGGCAGAAGTGCACCTGGAAGAAGCATTAGGTTCAGAGCTACTGGCTGACTTGAAGGACCCAGAAGGGGCCCGTGTCATGTACGTTTCCATAATTCACTTTTAAATAGTTACACAAGGTTATCTTGTTTAGGCTTCTGAAAGTACACTTACCCATATATTGTCGCTATACAAGTGAAAATCACTAAGTCTATTTTGTATATTGTGTGTAATTGACATTCCTAAATCCCATATTTTTATTTCTTTTAATTGCTGAAATCGTAGGTTATGTAATGCTGCAGAAAATCTATTTCAACACTTCAATGAAAATACAAGTTTTCAGGTCTCCCAAAATCGAAAGTTTTTTGTTTTTTCAAAATGCCCTTCTGTTCGTCTGTGAACTAGCACCCAACTATTTGTAGAGTTGTTATCAAAATGAATATTCCCCAACTATCCAAAGCCAAACCTCTACAATACTAAAAATCGTTCTTTAAATTTTGGAGGTATTTCACAAGGCTTAAAGTTTGCTCTTTAAATTTCCTGTATGAATAGAGTGAAATATGTGTATAAATAATTTTTTTAGACATTCCCAGTACACTTTGCTGATTTTCTTATTCTGCAATTTGGCAACTGGCAGGTATCACCCACATGGCATTGACAGTTTCATCCTATCAGGAGCTTAAACTTCACCATAGTGATGTCACAATTTCATACTATTAATTCTTTACTTAATGTCATGTACATTTTATTAATATTATTATTATTATTATTATTATTATTATTATTATTATTATTATTAGTGGTTTTCATGTAATATTGAATTAAATATGGGCAATTTTAAAAAAAGGATTCTCTCAAAAACAACTCCAAATTTTGCTTAGAACTAATTGTGTTAATAGTACTCAATGCACCAAATACATGAGAAATGTCATTCTGATGTATTCTTTAGATATTTCTAAAATGTCACCAATGTAATTTTTTTGAAATGTGTCTCACATTGTTAATATTTATTTTACAAGTGATCTTTTGTTGTACTCTTGTGATTTATTGTACAGGTGGTTCTTTAATTTATTGCTAATGCAGTTTTCTGTGAAAATGAGCTGAAAATTATGTTTTCAGTTACACTCAAATGACTTTTCCTCAAAAACGGCTCTATGAAAATTTGCATACAATACAAAAAGGCATTAATGGAGTTGAATTAAATTAAACTTTGTGGAAAAAGAAAGCACGATTTATCTCCTACCTGTTGTATAGACAAATTTAATAGAAATAATTTCAACTTGATTCATCTCAAAACACAGTTTTTGATTTTGTGAATTTCACTTGTACACTGACCATTTGTTTCTACAGCTATTAAACATAAACTCCAATACTCGTCATTATACTTAATGATTCTAAAAACTGCACTGTTACAGTATTGTGTTTGTATATACTATATACATAGTATATATAAACAATATTAGGGACAAAAGTAAATACTATCGTGGTGATATGTATCATTTTTATCTTCACTAATGAGCAGAATGTATTCTTACAAGTTAATATCATTTGAATTGTGAAAAGTAATGACTATTTGAACATCAGTTTATCGCACATCAAAAAGTACAATTTAAATTGTAGTGCATCTAATGAAAAGAATTGGAAAAGATTCGATCCAACTCTAAATGTAGTACTCATTATTTCAAAATACTTAATAATTCAATTAAATTATATTAGCACATTCCATATGGATAAGAGTGTGGAGCCAAAAGCATAAACTAAAAAATGTGAGTGGGTTTACAGGCGACTTCTGACAGAGTTGGAAAGTTTACGGCAAGGATCCACTGACATCAAAGCAAAAGGGGATGCTCCATCTGGTCAACCTGCTGCCGGAGTTGTGTCTTATGAACTCCAGTTCCGACCTGAACAGTCTGAACTGTCACGGAGTAGTCGATTGGCGCAGTTGGAACAGAGGTTGCATTTTGCAGAAAGTGCTCTTGGTGCTACTCCAGAACGTATGGTAAGTGTGCAGTACTTCAAAAGAAAAATGACAATACATATAAATTTTCTTAAAGTAAACATTAAGATGAGCAAGCTAAATTTTATAATGTAATATTATTGCTATTGCCTGTACTTGCTTTCTTCAACATTGTAATATTTAGTAAAGATTAAATTGTAATGTGAAGAAAATTATATTATTAGATTCAGTTTGGAGTTGCAAATATTTTCTTTTTTTGATATTTCTTTTTCGTATTCTCTGTAAGTGTTAATTAAATAATTTAGTTATACATCCATGATATTCTCTGTGTGTGCAACAGGCATGTGATTTATACTATACTGCGCTTTGAAAAAAGTATGCCTTACAAATTTTGTATGAGAAATAGTGTTTGTTTAGGTAATGATTATATTTTAAACTTCACTTGTTAATTGCTCATTCAAATAGACAATTTTAATTTTTTAAACAATGGGATTAGAGTCTTGAATTATTTATTTTTAAAACAATTGTATTGTTATCTGAAGAGTTGTGTTGTGGTATATAAACCGTAGTTGGAGAAGAATTTTTAACCTTATGCCCTTAATTTCACTTAGTAAAGTGGGGTGAATTGAGTTCAGAAATCCCCTACATCAAACTTTCATTTCTTTGTACAAGTATGTGATGGCTCATCAGTTGTGTATGAATTTATTATTAGGCCACATTATGTGTGGATCCACGTGACCGAGCTAGGCCATGCAGTCTGCTAGAAGCAGTGCAGCTGTTGAGTGCTAAAGTCAGTCTGTTGGACACTGCACATCTGGATCATGTAGAGGGCAGACTTATTGCTTTAGCTCAGAAGATGGACTCTATTGCCGACAAAAATTCTTCAACTGTAGAGGATGCAGAAAGGGACCAAAAAGTAATTATGTATTTTTATATTACAAAATGGAAAACTTAGTTTCTGCAATTTATTATTTTAGCAAAGTAAAAATAGTATTCATAGTTTCAAACACCAATAACACTTTGTTCAAAATTACCATTTCCAGTAATATTTTCAGTGGTATTCTTCCAATATTTAAAAATTGGGTAAATGTTGACAAAAATTTCATTTTTGTAAGGTAATTGAACTGTATGACCTCATGAAGAAAAACAGTGAAGAAGTGGCTCAAATCTTACCAGAAACTTTGGATCGAATGCTTACATTACAGGCTCTCCATCAGCAAGGTGATTTTTTTTTCTTTTTTTTTTTAATTCCTTTTATATTCTCTTACATTAATTATAATAGAATAAGTATTTAACTACTACATTAATGCTAAAAAAATGATAAACCTCTCTTTCTCTCTTCAGAATTGTTATCAAATCCTTTTAAAAAATGTTTCAATTGCCTTGTTTATTATTATGTTAATGTTTTTATGTTAATGTTCATGTTAGTGATATTGATTTAAAGATCACAACTTGCATTTTCAAGAATTATCTCAGCAACTCATAGTAGTGACAAACAGAGCAAGAGGTTGAATGTTTTTGCTTTTTTTTATTGTTAAAATCTATGCCTTGGATTCACCCCGCATCTGTGAATTAGCATTTCTATAATGTGAAAGAATATATTTATGTGGTGACAGAGAAAATAAGTTGTCAATATGACAAGCTTTTGTGTAGTTTTAAATTTTGTGATTTAAACAATTTCCTTCTCCTTTTTGGTAGTTGTACAAAGTGTCTAACATATTATTGCTGCAAGTTAAGTTACTTTCCGTTTTAATGTAAAATTCCCTAAGATGTATTTGTGATTGAGAATTTCAGAGTACAAATGTTAGTTGAAGGCAAAGAGTTTAATTATGTTCTTTATTTTGCAGCTGCTGATTTTGGCAAGTCTCTCAGTCAATTGGAAGCTGTCCAACAGCAGATATCCGGATCGTTGCACAATAGTGAACAACTGCTCCAAGAGCAAAAAGATAGTTTTCTCAAGCAACTGGAGTTGCTTAAAAGTAATTTAGCTCGTTTAGATTCCCGTATCACAGCTTTAGGTAAAAAATGACCTCAATAACAGCAGTTGGAGACAGTTGCTTGGTACATATTACACTGAATGCATTGTTCCATTGCCCTAACTGCACAAAGTAACCCATATCTCACAAAAAGGTGCTTTCCTCCAGTGTTATAGGTGTGAGAAATAAATTTTTGCACCTCTATTGCTTAAAGAATAAATTATTTGCATCCAGAATGTTAAATGTATTTTATATGAATAATCTGTTTCACCTGAATTACACACCTTGTAATCCTTGTCTTCAAAGAACTCTGATTTGTGACTTTGTGTCAATGTGTTTCTGCAGAAATGGAGGCAGTGTAAAAGATTTACTTTTTCTTATTGTTAATCTTGCTTTTCAGCTCTTAATGTATGTGTGTGTGTATACACGCGCAAACACACACACACATATATATAGGTGTATTTGGATGGTAAATAGTGAAGAACGCTTTCTATTAGTGTGCATTTATTGTGGATTTCAAGATGGGAGACAAAGATTAATTGGTGGACACGAACAGAAAGTGTTACTTTTTACCATCTAATTACATTGCTCTTGAGGACACATTGTATTTTTTAGGTGTTTTTAAAATGTTCAGTGATTTAACACAATTGAATAGTGCTGATTATTAACATTCAGCCTATCTTTCTATGCAATGTCAGATTTTTTCTCCAGTTAGAAAGGAAAAAAGGTTTTCATTTTATAAAAATGGAAGCAGCTTAAGGCAGAGTAAGAATTGATTATTAATTAAGACAGATTTTTCTTCCAAAAGAATGAGAATTAGCGTAATAAATTCTAAATGTAATAGATTCAATTTCCACATTACTTTTTCTCCCTTTTCTTTCGCAGAACTTTGTTTCCATTTGCATGTTAAACATGAAGCAGCACATTAATATGTGTACATTGATGGTCAAACCACAATCTACCAACTATTTCTATGACACTCATACTGATACTTTTATTCTACCATTTCCTTGTGGAATGTTTCTACTTATACTATCATGTATTTAAAAATGAATGCTTGAAATGAATCTTCATGCACATTCTTGCTGTTCAGAATTTTTCATCAAATCATCCAAAATATTTTTGCAATTTTGTTTGTCGTTCCACAGGAAATTGTGACAAATTCTCTTCTGTCTTCCTTTCTACAAAAGTTGTATGATATCAAAATGTGATCCTTAGAGATGGGCCAGTTGCATGCAAGTTATAAAGAAATATCTTGATGCCAACAGATTTTGTGCAGTTGACTGTTTAGCACAGGATATAACTGTGAGGGTTGTATTTTAGTTTCTATATACCTACATTTGGCATGATATAATATTAATTTGTCTCTTTTCAAGTCTGGTGGTTTTACTTTTTACTTATCCACCAAATATAGGTTTCAGAATTTACTCATGGTTTAGAACAAGTGCTATCCTTCATTTCAGTTCAAAAAAAATAATGTTTTGCATATTAATTTACCTCTGGGCCAGCTGTCAGTAACATAATAAAGAAGAAAAAATCCAGTGTATGTTAGTCATATTCATTAATTCACGTGATTTAAAAGGACCATGAATTTTTGATATCAAATGGCAGAGTTCTTAATGTTTATCTCAACAGTTGAATGAAATTATTTCTGAATGGTGTTGATTCATTAACCTTGAAAGATGATATTAATATTCAATTTCCTTGTACTTTACTTATTAACTTTGCTTTGATTCCATCTATACCCCATAAAAGTTTTTATTATTTTGCATCTGTCAGAATAATAAAGAAAAATCTGATATTTAAGAGGAACTGTTAAGATTTCCATTATGAATGAAAACACTATTGAGACCCAGAGTTATTTTTATTATTATTATTTGTACATTAATTACATTTTCAAATGTTTTAAATACAAGTAAAGTATTTATTTAAATCAGAACACAAAGAAACAACATACAATATATTTATCTTGTATATCATTTTAAATAATAAAATTTAATATTTCCATTTCTGAGTCAGTTTGGTCTTAAATTGTATTTAAATTTTGCAGCAGTTTGTAAATTCTTTAAGTGGATAATAATGTCATCAAGTCAAGAAATAAAAAGAAGTGCATATGATTTGGATAATAATTCCAAATAATGCTCTTTTAATACGGATCATGGAATGCTACTTCATTGTCTAAATTGTATTTGCTAAAATGCAACCAAGTAAAAGTAATTATAGGAAGACAAGTTTAAATCGCTCCAAGAAAGTGTAATATGTAAAGTTTAAATCACTCCATTAGAAAAGCATATTAATGTTCACCTGTGAATTGCAAATAACTGAAGCTTTGAACCATATGATATGCATTACTTTTATCTTGCATTTTGTTTTTGAAATATTGAAAATTTTTTATATTCATTAAGTACATCAGTTGACAGAAGTTCCTGATTTATAAGTCAAATGGAAAATGAAACAGTAGAATTTCAAAGTAAACAGATATCTACTCTTGGATGACTTTAATCTTTCATATAATATTTCACCAAAATCTTAAGTTTGTGGTGACCAATATTTCTCCAAAATATTAGGTTTTACCTCACATGAGAAGATGCATTTGCAAAACTTGTATAGATAAGTACAGAACTCGATAAAAAATATAACTGAATAAGAAAGTGAAAAGTACCCCCCCCCCAAACCAAATCATTAATGGCAATACTCATATGAAAGAGAACAAAAAGTGTTGTATTTCCCACAAAAAATCAGCATCCTAGGACAATCTGTTGCAGGGATACATAGAAAAAAGGGTTTAACACATCTTTTTTTTCTTTTTTCTCAGCTTTTATTGTATGTATTAGATGGCAAAAAATTGCAGAGACAAGGAAAAGTAGTTAAATTCAAACGTATTTTTGTCAACCCATTTTGGCAGCAAATTAAAAAGAAAATATTATTTTAAAAATTGACTGTCTCAGTTTTCCCTCTAGAACATGTCTCATAACATTTTATAACAAATATTTTTTCAGATTTTAAACAATGCAAATGAAAACAAACAAAAATTAATACCATTTTATCAGTTTTGAAATTTGAAAATCACACCAAAATGTGATAGGAAAAATCTTTCACCAATGTTTAAACAATTAATATCTAAATTATTGAAAAGTCTCATTTCCCAACTTCTTGCAGTCAAGGGTTTTGTTTTTATGTGGAAAGTATTTATATTATCGTTATAAAATCTTCAACCCCCTTTTGTTTTTAGATGTGTGTATTGTTTCTAATGTAAATCAAATTACTCAGTTGACAATTAGACAATCAATTTTTTACTATTTCAATTTGGTGCCAAATATATCTTTAAATTAAACAATTTTTTACCACTTGATACATGCAATAGAAGCTGAGAAAAAAGTAAAAAACAGGTTTCTCATTGTCTCTGCAACAGATTGCCCTAGAAGGCTGGTTTTTAGGAAATCTATATCTTTTTTTTTTATTCTCTTTCATGTGAGCATCACAATTATCGATTTGGTTTGGGGGCACTTTTCACCTTATTTGGTTATATCCTTTGCAAAAATTATGTATACTTAATATTATAAACTTTTTTCAAAATTGTAATTATTTAGCAGACTATCACGTAAATACAATTTTGATGTATTTTCTATTGTCAAAATTACTCATGTCCTTTTAATCATTAATAAGTCTTAAATTGCTAATGGCAAGGTTGGAAAAAATGTAAACCATTTGCCCTGTGTAGGATTTTAAGTATTTTTTCTTTTTAAGATTTTTTTTTACCCATTTTAAGATTTCATACTCAGTTATAATTGGTAACAAATTTTTGTTAATGTTATCATGTTTGAGTAAGTTCTAGTTTGAGTAAGAATGCAAACAAAATGCAACATGTAGCAAAGTTGCAAAACAAGTATGCATTTTATTGTAAGGTTATTTTATATTTGTATCTGATTGTAAGATTGATTGATGTATTCTGTATTCAGGCACATCAATTGCTATAGTCCTTAGTCCCATTTGTATAGTGAATGTTTTATTCTGGGAGGAAGCAAGGGTTCTTCCCCAATGACTGGCAAGAATTGGTACGAACATACATGGTCAGTCTGCAAGGAGTTTCCCTTTCAGGTATCTCCCATATCAGAGCTCCACTACAGCTAGAAGGCTTTCAACTCCCAACGTGTGTGGTAGAGTAGCGTAGCATGTTTAATGGCAGAGGAAAGGAAAGGAAGATATCTTGTGGTCCATGGCCCATTTGTTAGGGTACTAACACAGAATATGCCTGAAAGTGACTGATAATTCTCTCTGGTTTCTCCAATCAGAGCAGAATTCTTCTCCAGAGACGGAATCTGAACCATCTATAAAGCTTGGGTTGAAAATTCACTACAGGTGGTACTCAAACTTCCCGTTCAAAGTTGCTGCTAAGATAATGGTAATTCTTATTCTGAGTTTACTCAACTGGTTGTGCTTGGATGTTTGTTGTGATGAAATTTGAGAAGTCAGAACTAACTAGTAAGTTTGTTTTTGATTGTTTTTCATTATTTGTCTGATCTTTCATACTAGTTTGTAGTGATTAAATTTGATTTTTAAATAATATTCTGATACATGAAATTATAAGTTTAGGATATTTGATTTGGAATTACGTAGAAATTCATTACAACAATTCAATTTTTTTTTCTGTTCCTTTTTTAAGTAGGTATTTTTGTGGAAGCTAGAGAAAATTTAGCTAACCCTGACTATTGGAAATAATAATCTTGATCATTTTGTATCTTGTATTGTTCTTACAGGGCTTAATCCCTAAATCAAATTTGATACATGGGCATCAACTGAAAATTCATACAACTGAATAATGTTCACACTAGACATTGCAGTGCATGATTGCAACCGCAATTGTAACATTTGTGGAGTAAGTAACAAATCCCAGCAGATGCAAGTAAATAATTGGATTGAAGAAAGTTGCTTTAATGTCACAAATTTAGAAGCCAGCCAACTTCATAGGATTTCCTGTCAACCCAAGGCTGTGATCAGAGCAGCAAGGACAACATGAAATGCTTCACTCACTCTCCAACTATTCCCGTTGCCAAAAGAAGGCTGTCAAGTGATCTTCATCTTTTCAGGGCATTACTCAAGCGTATATTTCCCAAACTGGTTAGTACAGTAGTTCAAAAGAAGCCGTACCAAAGCAGGACAGTGCTGTCAGTGAGTATCATCAGTTTTTAATGTAGCAAACAAATATTTATAAACTTGGTCAAGTAAATTTGAAACAGTCTAATAGAGCAGATTAAGGTACAATTAATGATGGATAATTGAAAGGGAAATATAAAAATTCTTAATAATTTTCACAAAAGTTCAACATTCAGATTAAAGAAATTTAAAGTTTTTGAAACAATATTTTTGAATTCAAGCCCTGACAGAAGTAAAAATGGAAAGATGGAAAATCATGTACCTTTAATTTTCACTATTAAGGAGTACTTTCAGAGAATTACATGAAACTTCTTCTAAGCTCTCTTCTTCTAATGCCTAAGAAATTCTGAGTTCAGTTCCTTCTATATAATTTATCATACTATTTTCCAAACGGTTTTGAACACAGTTCTTCAAGAGTCAAAGAGGTAATTTCATAAATTAATCTGGCCGTAATTCCCACTGGGGGAGACACTTTTGCCTTCCATGGTGGATGCAACCGTGGTATACAACCTATCCTATCAACGCCTCACTATTTTAAAAATCTTTACTCATAATATTTTTAGAAAATAGTTCACTCAAATACTGCATGTGTCAGTAGGAGCAAGACATCCGGAGTAGTAAAACTGTTTCTCTTTGTGCACTGGCTGCAGTGAATTTTGCAGGAAAGGGCTTATTGGAAGAGCATGCCCAGGACACGTTGTTGGCTTGCCCTTCACAGTGGCAAAGGTACAACATAAATGTCAATAAGAACACAAGATTAAAATGACAAAGTTAGTACATATGTGCACGAAATCAAATCTTATAAAAGTAGTTCCTAGCGCAACCCCTTTTATACTTTAATGTGCTTCACTGTGATAGTCATGGGTGATAAGTGAGAGAAGTCATTATAAACATTTTTTATAACTTTTTACAAACTTTTAGAGACGTTAATTCGTATTCAACATGACTGAATCCACATCTGAACAGAAATACCAGCAATACAGTAGTGAATATTTGAAATGTGGACTTGCATACTATCCTACTATGTCGAGTTAATTGACAAAAAACAGTTTTTCGAAACATATTTATGAAACCACCTAGGCTACAACATTTAAGCAAAATTCAGACAGGTAAAAATGATATATTCTATTCTGGACTGGAAAAGCAACATTTAAAACTGCCACCTGTATGAAACCTCTTGTAAACAAGATTTGTACTAACTACGAGCTTCATAATTGCTTAATTTCTTGAAAAATCTAGCAAGTACATGAATGATATCTGATTTAGTACCTCACATGCTACGCACACATTGTATGACAAGGAGCTACTCATTTCGCAAACTAAACAAAACTTGATACTTCCTTGCACAATGTAAAATACTAGTAATGATATGCAAAAAGAATAAAATTAGAGGGATAAAAGGGTTTAAGATTAGGGAGGAATTGCTCTAAACCAGTGTTATAAACACACCTTCCCAGGAGGTGCAAAAACTTTCATTTTCAGCCATGGCAATCAAACACATGAATTACAGAACCATATGCATCTTGCCTTTCGTGCCTCAGTGCTGAGATCCATTGACCTGACACCTAGCACACCTATCCAACACTTAAGTCTTCCGAACTATCAGTATTTTCCTTTCGGTTTTCATTTTATCAAACAATCAAAACAGTGAATTGTGCAAGTCACCATTAAAAAATATACAGGATGGCCTTACTTTCAGAAAAAGTAGTGGCTAACAATTTACTTTTAATGGTGAAAAATTACAAAAACCACTGCCCTAAACAAATGCACGAAGTTCACATTCATGTCTTACTATTTAGACTATGCCATGCAAAATCACTTCACTTCCATCCATGATTTACTAGATCAGCTTGCACGTTTTTAAAAGTTTTTTTTCACCTAACCTTAAATACTCAATTTAACACTAGCTGCCCATTCACAATGAAACAATTCCTGTTTTCCCTAGCTTAATTCCACTTGATGTCATTGACTTCAGCAAGGGAATCAAACCCAATGGGTATGGAAACACAAATGAAAACATAAAAGCGAGTTCAAGGTTTATTGAACGTTTTATAACATACAAACGCAGCTTAGAATCTCCGTTTTTGAAAAAAACCATTTTTCTTCCCTGCCTTATACCTGAAAAAAAAAAAATAATATAGATATATAAAAAAACATTCTACAAACATAATACATCAATAGAAAATCATCTCTTGCCTTCTTCCAAATTTGACTTTCGCTGCTGGAATCTCGCCTTTTTTCCTCTTCATAACTAGTCTTCTCAAGCGTAATGTCTACAGTGTAACGGGTTGGCATTAAGTGATTGTAGTTTAATACCTGTCAAAAGAAGTTTTCATAATTAAAACAACTCATTACATTCTTCAAAGATCAAGGAAGTATTAGCCTTACTCGATACCATGGCAAAATAGGAAATATGAAGTCATCTCCACACATGCACACCCTAGGATAGTTAACAAACATTGCTATACAAAGATATTTTAGTTCAACAATTGTTCCACTAATTGTGAAATAACTGATGTAGAAAATTTTGCAATACCAAGTTTTACTAGATATTAAGACTTTCAAAGCTTCATTTCCTACTTAAAAATGGGCACAGATGTGTGATAAGTTATGTTATAGCAAAGCTCAATGAACCATAAAAAAAACTGAAATTGAATTTATTAACTATTAGCCATATGCCAACCACATTCTAACTTTAACCCAGTTTCCTCAATGAGCAATAACCACACAATATTATACTCTTAAGCAGTGATTTCTTGTATCCATTTAATGTTCAACCAAGACAATTATTCTAACATATATTCACAATTAAATACAATACTTCATGATATTTGCTACATCAGCTTATGTTACTTAAATCTTAATAGAAGTAACTGGGCTTCTCATTATCAAAATAAATTACTTTTGGGAGAGTAACTCACCTTAACAAAAGGCTTAATCTTAGATCTTTTATGTATTTTCGCTTTCCCCATTCTTTTGCATACTTTGCGGGGATAACGATCAATTCCTGCAACCAGAGCATGACCGTACTCCTTGTCAGAGGTTCCTTCATCAAAATTTTTAATAACGATAGCTTTTTTGCCAGCGTACCGGCCACTAAGGACCAGCACTACTTTGCCAGCTTTCATAATCTTCCCCATTTTTAACCCTGTAAAAAAAAGGCAGATCACTTACACACAAAACACTTGAACACGATTACACGAAGAACTAATATGTTAATATAACATTCATTAGCACAATAATATGTTTGTCTTCATTCATACGTTTCGTCAAATACGCAGTTTACCACCTATCTTCGACAAAGCATGGGTCTACTACACTTTACAACGGTACGTTACAAAGATTTGCGAGAGTGAAAACTTGTTTTATATCACTGAATTCTCAATTGTACACTTAACAAAATTGTTTAGAACATCACAAATACAAAATAAAATATGATGTTTACCGATTTATTTTATCACACTACAGATGATCCACGACTCCCACAACATTCAACACCTTGGCCGGAAAAGGAAGCTCTCAGAACTCTCTACAGTACAATCATGGAAAGTCTATATCACTATTTCTAAATTTTTCTATAGGAAGCGCTGTACTGACCAAGAGAGAGGGGCGTCATGAGGGCGAAAGTCGAAATAACATTTCACTGGTTCAAATACAGCAATAAATTAAATTGTAAAAATATATTATTGTATATATTCGGGATAGCATAGTGGATATAATTTATAATAACTTATTATAAAATTTAAATGAGGGGGTTTTGTTGGCAACTTGCCGGGTCCGCCAACTTCTGAAATGAATAGCAGTTGAATCAGACCCGCGATTTTCAATTTGACGGATATTCGAAATAACATCATATCGAGTAGTGCTGATATTTCGTACGATTTTCCCTCTTTTTTATCTCAGGAATTAGTATTTTATTCTACTTGCGAGATTATTTTGCTACAATATGTACTTACAAAATTAATTCAAAAGTATATTTTTTACCAATTATATTTTAATGCAAATATTTGTTTACATAACAAATATTAATGTGTCTGATATACTTAACTTAAAGAAAGCCTAAGAAAAGCCTCAGATCTCCAGAATAGTTATTTATGATATGAAGAGTAGAACTAGTTTTCATTTTGCCATTAGGTAAGGTTGCCACAGGCTGATACGTATTGCTGCAATTTTATGAGAAAAATAAAATATCTTTTACCACATGTGTCATACGACAGTCTTAGTGACTTACATTTTCATTTAATTTAAGTACACAAATCACTCAATTGAGTACTGTGATACATTAAGGTCCATAGTAGATGATGTTGTCAGACAAAAATATTTCGCTTCTTTTGTAGCATTCACAGCTTTATCTGAACATTTGTGAATTATATGACTTTAGCACTAGTGCTAAAAATTGTGCTTTTATCATAATGTGCATGCCCTAAAATGAACTGCTTTTATTAATGACTATTTTAAAAATACAATTATTTCTATCATCATGCCTGAGACATCACGAAATTATTGAAATACACTCACTACATGTAGTTAATTACTGTAGTATGTCATATATACTTATTACAGTTGCAAAAGAATTAAATAAATAATATTTTTTAATGCATAAGTACTCTATTTAATAAATAAAACTATTTTTCAGTTCTATTTTTTTTATTTATTTTAGTTTTTTTTAATTCATTTATTTATTCATTTTTAATTTTATTTAGATAAGTTCTGAATGATCATTAGGTCCTTAACACAATCATTTATGTTTCAAATATGTAAATATATTTTTTAACATGTCTCTTAGTAAATCCTACATTCTTTCATTTCTTTTAAATGAATACTTACAACCAAAAAATTCAAAGTCTCATCTTAATGTCTTCAAATGGCCTTAATTAGATGTCCCTGAAGACAATAATGTAACAAAACAAAATAACTTCATAATTTATATTATCATATTAATGGGATGTATGTTTTTAAAGAACTACAGAACTTTAATTTGAACACTTGTGTAAAAAGTAATAGTAGTAATATGTCAGTAGGTATTTGAATAAGAGTATGTCTTATTGGCAAATGTATCCTGTGTAAAATTATATCAATATCTGTTACAGTGCATTTTCTCTTTCAGATCTATTTCAGAGTGACCAACTGATTCCTCTGTTTATGTGTAAATCTGTGAATGGAATCAACATCAATCTGAAAATATATCTCTACATAATGATGGTATTTCTGCCCTAGGGAATTGCCATAGGGAACTTCACAAATTGTAAGATAAATTTTGATATGTAAGTAACAAACTAAAATTTCCAAAAATGCCACCAGATACCATGGAACAAATCCAAGAAAAAGTAATATGTATTTGATGACTCAAAGGCCTAGGTAATATGTATGTTTCAGATAATTTCATTGTAACAGGAGAGGTTTCAAGCAACTAAGTCTTCTAAAATGTTCTATATTTGCTGCCAACTCACTTTCAGACTCTGATACAATTTTATACGTTCATTTTTGTTCATTAAAATTAATGTAACATACAATAATAAATGAGCAAATACTGCTATGAACATATTTGGTGAAAAGGCATTTTAATATTACACATTTCCAGCGAGTCTTCTCACATAATGTTCATTCAAATGAATGTCCATTGTTTACATTTGTGTACTATAACAGTTTTAGTGCCAATTTCATTGAATAAAAATAACTAACTTTATGAATATTATAATACATTTAGGGCATAATTTCCCTTATTTTCCATTTCCTTTTTTACACAAAAAAAGAATTACAAGTCCAAAATGCATCTGCTTGCTTAACAAAGGCATGTAATAATTATATTCATTCCAAATTTTCAAGGGTTTAATATGTTAGTTATGTCTCCTGACAGTGGTCAGAAACCCCCTTTCTCTTAAACAATATCAAGCCTAAGTTAAGCCTTACTTACTTTGAACATGATCCCACATAACTACAAATTAATTTGTATGTCTTGTCACTTTCCATATATAAAGTAGACTATTACTATAACATTATATAACATTTAATAAAAATTTTGTCATAATCATAAATTACAATGGTGCACTTAAACAAGATGTGTTAGGTTGGATTTCAGAAAACTATACTTAAATTGATTTAAATATTACCATAATAATGAAAAACAGTACTTTATTATTCAAAAGACCTTTTATTTACCATTGAAAAGATTTTTAGCTATTGAGGTGATTAAAGTTTACAGTTCTAGTATTTGTAAGGAAATAAAACTTTATTTTCAATTCCATATGTCCTTTTAGTCAATACAGTTGTAATTATGGTGGAGGCTAATTTTTTAAAAAAATGTAGAAGTTTTTTTTCATTGTGGAAAATAAATCATTATTTTGTAATTTTAATAATTTCATTGTTAAGGGGATATTTCATAAATTAACATACTGTTAGGTGCATAAATTGTGTAAGCAGGGAATTTTTTTTCTTCAGTAAGGGAATATCCTTTTTCCTAAAAGTAGTATAGGGAAAATTTACATAAAGCTGCAAAAAATGAGTACATTTCATGTAATATTGAGTGAAATGGAGACTTTTTGTAAACATGTGAGCAAGACTTTCTTAAAAAAAGCTAAATTGTTTCTCTTCATTTTTTGCTTAATTATAACAAAATTATCTTGATAATGTGGCACATGTCTTGTTTCCATTTAAACCTCTGTTCTTTTGAAAATTGTTTTGTTGATGTATCCAGTGATGGCTGAAATGTTAGTAGGATAGAAGTTGCAATATTGTAACATTACGAAACCATAACCAATAATATGAGAAAGTGTGTCCTGTTGTAGCATTATTAGTTTTATTTACTATTGAATAAAAATAATATTTATATTGTCAAGAACAATGAAACAAACAGTGCAAATGAAAAGGAATGTTAGAATATTAGTTATAAAATAATATTGTTGCATAGGCATCTTAACACTTAGGATATTGAGTATTTTTTCCAATGTGTATTTTCCCTAAAGAATATTTATGCTTAAAAATCATTAAATTAAATGGACTGAAAACTCATAAGAAAAATTTCCCAAAAAATTTCTCTTAGTCCTTTTCAATTGGTATTCGACAATTTTTACAGTAGCTGGAAATTAATCCAATAGTACTTAACTGTTAATCAAATTAATAAGAAACGAACAACAAAAGGAAAATGTAAAAATCAATGTAGTATTATTGTCACAGAAAATGTTTTGTAAATAATGGAATACATTTTTGAAATTTGCATTAGTGAAATATTTTATGTGACCATTGGAACAGAATCCTTTTCATGACACAGTAAAGAAAAGAGTCCAATAGAATAAAATTATAATAGAATAGAATAGAATTGAGAGTTTTGGAAAAGTGGAGAGGTGAAAAAAAACAACAACTATTTTGTTACAGCCCACGTCACAGCCCATCAGATATTTTGAAAAACTATTTCATTGAAATGCCCCCCCCCAAAAAAAAAACACACACACACACACACAAAAAAAAAACACACAATTTTAACATTGGTTATGGCTATAGGATATTCAATGGTTAATTTCTACAAAATGTTTTCAAAATTCTTAAGGAATACAATGCATTTGATTCTTCAAATAAAATCCCTTTAATCATGCCAAATAATACATAGTGTCTGACTTTCTGTCTTTGGCTTAATATCAACAACTACTGTTGATAAAACTGTTACAAAGCTATAATGTTTAATCCTTTATATTCATTTTCTATCACTGTGGTGTATAAATCAATCACAGATTTTGAAGTAATTGCAGAAAAGTCTCCAATTTTTGTCAGAATTACTTCTTTACAGTGACAATAACCCAGAGTATTTAATTTGTTGTGCAAAAGAAACAGTATTAAAAGAATATAATATTGAACATCAAATAATAATAATATATCATAAAGAATTTCAATTATTAGGAGAATTTTAATTATTATGAGAATTTCAATTATTAGAGAAAACTCTGAAAGGAACGATGAGATAAAGTTTGGAGGATAAAAAGATAATTCAAAATGATTCTTAATGCAAATGTAATTGAATCCTAAATTGATGTCAATTAAAGAACATAATACACAAGTGCAGAGAAATTCTGCAATTCTTGCAGAGAAAAATCTTTTAAATTTTAAAATTTTTTATCTCTCTGTTTTAAAATGTTTACTTCTTTCTTGCTCACATTGCATTAACTCTTGTTTAAGAATATTGTATTTAAGAAGAGAAGATACTTTAAGAAAACCAAACCTATATGCATTTACACAATCACAGAATATCACAAATTAAGTAGGTAAGTATACTTCATTTAATAATATGAAAAACTTAATTATTATAACCCAATACAACTGAACTTAATGCACACAAATTAGACTGATATTGTTGGAATGAAAAGGCTAGTAAAATTAATATTAAATAAATTAGTCATAAATATAATTAATGTTCCTTCAATTAAATAAATATTATAAAATGTAATGCAATAATATCCCAAATTCAAGGAAACAGAAATAAAAACAAAAACAAAGAAAATATTTTCCCCAATAATATTCCCAAAAATTCCCAATATGAAATTAATGAAATACTTAATTTTAAACAACAAAATTGAACTCCTTATTTTACAAATGAAATTGTGTTAAATCACCATTCTATTCCAGTGTAAGCCGGCAAATAAGAACAAAAAGGGTTTTTTCATCATTGCAATAAATCTTTAGAGGAGAGATGGAGAATCTTTAGAGGATACATTACATTTCTGATGTAAAATATGAGAATGAATTCAATATTGTAAGACTATTCATAAATAAAATAAATAATCATTAACATTAATTGACCGGCTAATAGTTTAAGAGTTAATTTTTTTTATTACAAGTTATTATCGGTTTTTTTATTAAATTATTTCGTTTTATTAAATTAATTTCGTTTCAATGATTTTGATTGGATTTTTATTAAAGAATGTAAAAAACATGTAAAAACAACTACACAACTGCATGTAAAACATAAATGAAGATATAATGTTTTGAAAATGCCTTGATTTTATTATCAATGGAAGAACATTAATTATTTATATTAATATCATTGAAGAAACGTCATATTCTTATGCTATGGGTGTGTGGTTGTTGAGTTACGTGTGTGTCTATTATAATATATATATATATATATATACTATATATATATATATATATAATAAATATATATTTATTTATTTATTTATTTATTTTCAGGTGTGAACTCTTTGCCTATGGCTGTAGCATTGTTTCTCTCTCTTGCGAGAAAGCTATGCAATAGAATATGACATGTTCTGCGTTGTCCTTTACTTTACAGGAGTCACAGTTTTTATTGTCAATCTTCAACCGATGAAGATAGCTCTTGAAACATCCATGACCTGAGAGCGCTTGAGTAGAAATCCGTCTCTTCATGATTTCTCTCCATCCACTCCTTAAGGTTATTTATGAGCCTATGGGTTCACCTGCCGATTATCTCCTCATTCAATCGGTGACACATGACAATTGCCGCTGACACATTTCTTTCCTTGCTCCTTTCTTCACCGATTCCTTTTCTTGGTTTCTTCTTTGTGGGTCTATATATTTTAGTTTATTGTAGACATTTGACTGCTCTCTGACTAGGTTATAGGTAGCATGTTGGCGAAGACCACAACCGCACTTTCTGACTTTTATAAGCTGAGATGGACCTCTCTCTCCAGTGACAACAGTTATCTCCTGTGCCTTTTCATGTCCATAGCCTCCGCCTATACCGGGACAGCGTAGAAGAATTTGGCCAGGACTGCGCTTGCTGCAATTCCCTTTTTCTGTTTGAGCCGTAGATATTTGGCATTCTCCTCCTGAGATTTGCCCCTAGCTCAAATCAAGTTCCTTTCAGAGCTACCTTTCCATGTGTGGTACAAACTTTATACACACACACGCGCGCGCGCGCACACACACACACACACACCAGTCCGAGGTAGGTGAGGTGTTTTCGTCAGCCGATCTCCTGCCCCCCAACTTGGAGTCTTGGTTTTCTAGATCTTTTTGTCACAAGTATTGCTTCAGGACTGCCATGTCTAAACTCATTTTATCCAACCTTCTTTTAACTCTGCACAATGTTTCATTTGCTCCCATTTTGAGGATATCATTTTCTGCTACTGCGATTAACGCAGCGTCGTCTGCAAATCCTGTTATTTTAGCTTCTGTATGCAATATGATCTTCAGAAGATCGTCATACACCAGGTTCCATAAAAAGGGTCCGAGGCAGGATCTTTAAGGAGCCCTGCCAGTCATTTCTTCCTTTATTGTCCAACCATCTCCATTAACTATTATCATTCTGTCCTTCAAGCAGTCTGCGATAAAGTTCCTAAAATATTCAGCTATGTTCTTCCTTTCGAGGGCTACTTGAACATCATCCCACTTCAATGAGTTGAAAACATTTCTTATATCAATTGTAATGAGAACACAAAAGCCTTTTTTTTCTTGCCAGTGCCTTCTCTTGCTGTTTTAGCCCATCCTATTGTTTTCATAATGGCGTCCACCGTTGATCTTCCTTTCCGGAATCCATATTGGCTACCCGCTAGGCTGTTTATTCCATCCATATGCTTCTTGAGGCCCTGAAGTACTAGTCCTTCTAAGAGCTTCCCCGTTGTGTCTAGTGGACATGTGGGTCTACAGAATGAGACCAGTTCTAGCGTTTTTCTCCCTTTCTCAAGAGAGTTAAGTTCTGCCTCTTCCAGTCCCTGCGCCATGCGCTTATTGAAGACGTCTAATAAAAGGTCTGGATGTTCTTCTATGACCACCTTTAATGCTTCATTTAGTCCATCAAGTCCTGCGAATTTTTCAGTTTTCAGGCGTTTTCCTACCTTCTGAAGTTCTGAATTTCTCCAATTCTTCTGTTTTATCATCCCGTTAGTTTTCCCATTTGATTGGCGGTCTATTGGGGAATAATTCCTTTATTATCTCCCTGACCCATGCTTTGTCATTGAGTCCTGAGACGCTTATCCTCGTTTTTAACTTTATTACAATTTCGTAGGCTTGACCCAATGGGTCATTTTCCACTTCCTGTAGAAAAAAAATAGCAGGTTTTTGAAGCATTTTTGCTTGTTTTCCTAATTTATCTGCTCAGTTATTTCCTCTTTTCCTTATATTTATTTTGGAGGAGTCAGTTGCCGCATGATCATTTACTTTTACCACTGGCTCGTACGCATGCCTTCCCTTTTTCCGTTATGCTATTTCTTGTTCCACTAGTATTTTGGTTCTCATCTTCCATTGTTTATTTTCCTCTTGAGCATCGAGGCATTGCAAGCCTGCACGATCTGTTTCCTGACATCTTTCGCTGCTCTCTCCGGTGATGAAGGGTGTGTTTCCCATTCCAGTTCCTGAATGAGCCAGGATTCCTCCAATGGGTTTTTTAATGTGTCTATTTAGTTTCCTTGTGTTCCTTTTTTTTTCTTTCTGAGGTCTGGCTTTTGTCTCTTCTTGGTAGCCACCGAGAATTTGATGTGGTCACCAAGTCTCCGTATCCAACACTCTCCGATCCAAAATACGCCCCGCGAGCTTTGCCGAGCTCGTAGTTATGTCCAGGAATGAGAAGTCATTTCCACGATGGAAAGTATGCTTACTCTCCGTATAGATCATAATCAACTTGTTTCTGGCAGCAAAGTCACAGACAGTTTCCTCTCCTGTCTGCTCTCGACTCCCCCCATTCCGGAGATTTACTATTAAAATCTATGATCTCTTCCCCTTTTGCCGTCTTCAGACTTAAATCAAGCTGTTCATGTTCTCTTCAAACTTTTCTATACTGTAATTTGGAGAGAATTATTTTTGTTGTTGTTGTTATTATTATTATTATTATTAGTAGTAGTAGTAGTATTAGTATTAGTATTAGTATTAGTATTAGTATTAATTTTTCAACATTATATTAGTAGCGTCCCAAGTGGTACCCATTCAAACTGCAGCTCACTGCAGCTCCATTTGTCCTGAAGTTGTCTGTCAGTGTCTGGTCCAGAGAGTATATACTGGTGTACTGTGTATGTGTGAATGTGTGTGTTTGTATGGTAGTGTGTGGTGCGACTACCGGCGTTTGTGAATTTTGTGCAGTCACAACGAAGAGAAACTTTCAATTGTGTGATAAAGCAATGGCTGCAGCAGAGGTGTTAAGACCACATTTAGGAAATATAAGAGTGCCTGGTAAAACAGAGAAGATCTTCAAAGATGAATGTGCATTTTCTTTTGATACCCCCGTAAGATTTCACCATTTTGCAATTTGTCATTGTTGTTAATATCTTGTATCGGTTGAAAGTAAATTTCTACCTACAGTTGTCATCCAAAATTGGTGGAAAGATCGTGCGAATTAATCTATTTTGTGAATTATTTCATGGATAAATTTCCTTCCCTAACCTCCACAGCAATTCCGTGTGAAAATTTTTCTGTATTTTAATTTAATTTTATGCCGAGACGAACGCATTTAATTGATTTCCAAAACACAATTTAAAAACATTTTTATTGCTAATACATCTAAATTTTTTTTTCCTTTAATTCATTTCTCTACTCCTTCAATGAATGCAGTGGATGAAAATGGTAAAAGACACCATTTCAGTAATGAATATTATATTACATTGTCAAACATCATTGTTTTAGATATGCCTTCCAAAACTATTTTGTCATACGATTTATGTGATGATACTTGAATGTAATGAAACAAGGTTATATTAAAAATTGGAATCATATTATATATTTTACATCTAGAATTTGTAATATGATTCCTCAGTGTTGTTTAAAAATCTCGTTCTGACACGATTTCATACACTCATTCATTCTGAGCTTCCTTATGAAATATTAATAGATTAAAATAATTTCAATTATTTCAGGACTTTAAATCTGCAAATAAATTCATTAGTAAGAGTACTGTTTAAAAATTAAATAAAAGCTACAACTGTAATGTAATTTCATTATAAACATTTTTAGTAAGTAAGTAACCTAATCAGCATAAAATTTTAATATGTTTCTGTTATATAGCTATTAATACATCAAAATTTAATGCAAATCTATGAAGTTGTTTTCTTATAAGACTCCTAATATGAATAGTTTTTCAGGTATGCTATGTACTATATCTGTACTGTTCTGGGCATACTCTCTGTAGGTTAAAGTTAATATGGTTCTGAAATATAATTATAGTAGGTAATAAGACAGTAGTAGCATTTGATGCTAACAGAAAATAAAATAAAATTAAGTTCATTTCAAATTTTATTACTAAGAATATATTGTTAAGATATACATGTACATATACATACCGTTCCATACACATACATTATGCTCTTTCTGTAAAACACCGTACTTGATTTGAAATCCTTCCCATGCTCAAAAATCGGTGGGATTAGGTAGGAATTTCTACTTACAAATTACTTATCACCTAGAACATAACGTACAAAAAGATTTAAAAAAGATATTGCTCTTGGACATGCTCCTTAATTAATAAAAATATGTAAATAAAATGAGACTAACCTTAAGTGATTTATTGAGTGATAAAACATGCCAAGTTTTCAGAACCACTGTATTAATATTAGTATGAAAAACTATATGTATAATAATGTATTAGTATAAACATATTCCATTTGGGTAAGTTGTTCATTGCTTGAATCTGGCATTGTACCTTTTGTTTCTTTATTTATAGTATCCAATTTTATTTATCAGAGAGGATACCAGTTTTTATAAGGTATTCAAAATTCCAGTTACTTCAAATAATGTTTTCTTTTTAGGAAACGGAAACTGGGCTTTACGTGAGTCTTGCCAGTTTCCTGGGGCTTGGTAGAGAGCATGTTGAACGCTACTACCAGAAAACTGGCAATGCTGTTTATTTGCATATTTTAAGACATAAAAGAGAGGTTGTATTTATTCTTTAAATACATAAAATGTTTTCTAATTTTGTAGTACATTGTCTTCTAATGTGATATTGTTCTGTCTTAGATACCTCTAGAACAGCAAGGTGATGGACCTGAAAAAAAAATAACTCGATTAGCAATTGGTGTTGAAGGAGGATTTGATCCAGATTGTGGGAAGAAAAAATATGAATATGAAGACGAGTATTCTGTTGTTGTTTTACCAAGTTTTTCTTCATTTCCATGGCCCAACTCAGAATTTCCAGAGATAGTAATGATCAATATAAATTACCTATCTATAATGAATAGATGCAAAATGTTTTGTATAAAATAATGTGTTAAAATGAATAATTTAAAATATTTTTTCTATGTGGTGTGTAAGAAGAAATTTAAGTTATTTCTATTCCAGTAACTGTTTGAGTATTTATAATTGTTATTAATGAAATACTGAATATTAATTTGTGTGTTAGACTTCAATTTTTTTCTTTCTTTCTAGATTTCAAATTCTGTGAAGGCAATTATTGAGGCAGATTCTGCCAAGAAATTAATAGAATTGGAGGCTTTGGCTGGAACTTGGGATGGAGAGACTAGAATAGTGTCAAAGTAAGACAGTTTAATACTGAAAACATGATTGTGTTTGAATATAAGGTGTTAGCTGAGATTGAAATTTCAGTTTATTAAAGAGAGTCCAGTATAACAAAACAAAAAGTTGTTTAAACCAGCAGTTAGCATTGCTCAGGCAAAAGGGAAAATGGAATAAAAGGGATTTTTATGGGAATTCTTTGATGGTCAGGACTAAGGTTGAATCTGTTCTCTGTAAGTTTATTGGGTTGCATTATGGATATTTTAAAACTATATTTTTTTAGTGAAATGAATTAAACAGTAAGATAAATGCAATTGGATTTAGCAGCAGAGACAGTGAGCTTTCATGAAACAAATAAAAGATTTATCTTTATTTGCCAACCAACAGATTTATGAGGTGAGTTTTCCGAAAATCATAAAATGCATTGCTGAGACTCAAGAATGTTTTATGTTAATAATAGGAACTGAAGGCTTGTCATCAAATTGAAAGTGCATAGCAAAGCATCAACTTGCCTGTAAAAGTAAATTTGCCACAAAAATTAATGTGTATGAAGTGAGTTAAAAAATGCATCGTTTTGTTAATATTACTCCTGCAGGCGAGAGAACCTCCTCAAACTATTTAGAGATTTGGTTTATTGGATATGTCTCAAAAGACCCACAGACGAAATAGATATTTTTGTAATTTATTTTTTTTTTCTTCCCAGTCACTTTTCTCTAAGGATAAAGAACTAAACATCCTACTTCATCTGAAATTTCATGTAATTGTTATGAATTAGGTTAAATCACTAAGTTCTTGAGATGCACCTTTATTTTTTTACGAAATCCAGTACCTCTGCAATCTGTTGCTTGATATTGTGGTGACTGTCAAATGCGTCTAGTCCACAAAATTTTTAGGTAAGGTATTCATTATTCAGAGAAGTAACATATCATTCAGAGTATCTAATAGTATTACTGGAGTCCAATCCCCTGCTGTGATCCTTTGTAAATTTTCAATTATTGTGATAGTAAATTGAAAATTCATTCAAACAAATGCAGAATTTTGTCAATTAACAAGGCAAATTATATCTTTGACTGTACCCTCGATAACAGGAATCTAGAAATCTTAGATAAGAAAAGGAAGTACCTTGGCGTGGAGAATTGTCAAATTACATATTGAACAAATGGTTAATAAAGGCTGTATTTTGAGATTAGGTAGAAGATTTACTTGAAACACTCCAATGAATTTTTTAGACTAAACCTAAAATACAATTTCTTATATGGTCTCACGATACAACTAAAATGATATCCGATGTCAAAAATGTCAGTGAGGGTTTCTTTAAATTTTAAACAATTTTGTCCCTATTGACTATGGGGAGCAAACAGGATATATCTTTATGATAAATTGTACGGTACTTTAACACAACTACAACATTGAAGAGTAATTTTGCTTATCATTTACTTATTGAAAGTAATTCATGGCAGTGCAGATTTTCCATCATTGTTATCAAGAATGTAATCATCTGTTCCTTAATATCCAACTTTTTGATCTCAACCACTTCATGTGCGATATTGAGAAAATAATTGCATTTCAAATTCTGGAAAACAAAACTTGCATAAAAATGAATAAAATTGAAATAGATTCTGATGAAATTTATATATTTGTAGATTTGTTGAGCTAAAAGGAAGAAAATATATTAATTTATGCGAGAGCTAATTGAATATTGATATCCATTGGTATTAATTACTGGAAAATTTGTATCATGTAATAGACTTGAACCTTGAGGATTAGTTGTATAAATAAATAAATTCTGCTTCTTCATATTTAAGTCTTCTAAAGAGTAAGACTTGTTCTTTTCTAAGAATTATAATAAGTCTTTCCATCTTCTCCTTGGTCTGCCAGCATCTCTTCTTCCTCTCGCTTCTCATCTTTCTCTTTCATCTCTAGCAATCCTCATGCTTCTTTTCTCCTCCATTCTCTCAATATGATTATTCCATTCCTTTCTTCGGTCTGCTACCCATTCCATAGTGGGCTTAACTTTGCACCTCAAGTAGTTGTATGGCATCTTTTGTTTCACTTCTTGTTAGTCCTGCATAAGTTAATATTGGTCTAGTTGTTGATTGATATATTCTAATCTAGTAGTGCTAATTTAGATGTTATTTTTTGTTTTTATATTGTTCAGATGTTAGGCCATATTGTATAGTTGAGACAGCCAGCGATCCTATTACCTTTTATTTTTTGCTCTTTGATTTCTTTCTCCATTTGCTCTGAGCTTGTTGAAGTTATTCCCATATACTTCATCTCTAGAACTTTTTCAATTATTTGATTATCCACTACAAATTTACATCTCATTGGATACTTAGCAATTGTCATAGCTTTAATCTTCTGGGTAGATATTTTTAAATTAAAATTCTTACAAATTTTACTGAATTAATTGCTTTGCTTAGATCCATAAAGCATAGGAAAGTTGGTTTGTTAAATTCTAGAGCTTTTTCCATGATTTGTTGGATGATAAAAATTGCTTCATGCATGATAAAACTCTCTCTAAAACACTGTTGTTCTTCCTATTCTATCATATTCATGAATGTGTTTGCTATATGCTTTGTGAGGATTATTAACAAGCTGCTCAGGAGGTTTATCCCTCTAATTTTCTGGATCATATTGGTCTTCTTTCTTAAATAGGGGGATAAGAATACTTGATTTCCATTCCTTGGGTATTGTTGCATTATATACAATTTTATTTATGAGTTTGCATATATTTCTGCATCAGGTTCTTCTTCCAAATTTAATGAGCTCATTATATATTTCAATTTCTCCTGGTGACTTCCGATTTCTTAGTATTTCGATTCTTTTGATATTTCTTTCCATTCTATGCACTGTTTCGTTAAAGTAAAATCTTCAACCAAGTCAATTATCTCTGGAGTGTCATCGTGGAGTAGTTCTCTAAAGTGTTTCATCAGATACTTTATATGTGCTTTGTCACCCATAGAAGTCATGTTAAAGTCACAAGGTGAAGGAGATCCAGTAATCATTTTTTATTTTTCAGAAATTAATAAATTGGGAACCAGAAATAATTTTGTAAAATTGAAATTTTTGCTTAATTGACGTTTGTTAAAATGACATTTCACTGTATAAGCTGATTTGTAAAAGTGTAAATATTTTGTTAAACTTATGTAAATATTTATGTGTAGGCATGCTGCAACTTTACTTCAGCTGGATAATGGAAAGAAAATTCCTCCCAGTGGATGGAAGTGTGAGAAGTGTGACCTGACTGAAAACCTGTGGTTGAACTTGACCGATGGATCAGTGTTGTGTGGCCGACAGTTCTTTGATGGAAGTGGAGGAAACAATCATGCAGTGGAACATTATCAAACTACAAGTAATTTTATTGTTTTTTATTTCAATATTTATTTCTTGGATCAGTGATCTTAGGATATATTAATTAAGCAAATTAATCTTAATCCATTGATATTATAGCATTAGGTGATTTGTTGTTTGGAATTTCTTCAATCTTTCTCTTGTTATATTTAAAATTAAAATAAATAAGAAAAAAATACTTTTGTGTTGCACAGAAAAATATTGAAGTTGATATAGAAATATTTTTACTTATTAAGTGCAGATACACATTCATAAGCTTGTTAGTTTTCTCATAGTCAATGCTCACTAGAACCACAAACAGCTTCACAGTTTTTGTTATCAATATACCCATCTCAAAATGACCTCCAGCAAAAAATATATCCGCATACTCAGTTGCCGGCGGCAAGAGTAAGATCGAGAGATTTGTCAATGATCAAAGAAATTATAAAAATAATGCATGTCTAATAATTAATTAGAAAATAATTGAGTTTTAGTGAAAATTAGAGATCTTTGAGTGAAAATAGTTAAAAAGAAAGAGAGAAAAGAGAGAGCAGCTGAGAAATAGCCATGAAATGATGGGAAGAAGGCCAAGGATTTGCAAATCTTAGCATATCAAATTGAAAGCATGTTTATTGAATTGAATGGATTTTAAGTTTGCCCCCCCCCCATCACTTCAAGCATGCCATGCCGCACCACTCTCAATTCCAATAAAAATATACAATAGTCAGCTGCAATGGTCATGCTGGCAAGAATTCAAAGTACAGGAATATCAGGTATAAGGACAACCAACTCTGTCATACACGTAAGCAGTCCTCAGGTTGCCTAGTCATTGCCCCAACTCAGTTGTTGATGCCACCATACATATGTCAGAATGTCCTCCAGCCCCAAAACATCCATATTAAAAGAAGCATACACATTTTCCAAATGATTTAACTCATAGCAATAAAGTACTTGAATTGGAGAGTACTTTTTTGAATTTTTTAAATTATGAAAACCAATATTTGTTAGGAGCAAAGGCTGCATAGATATTAATGTTAAAGATCTTTTGGTCTATAATGATATTTCTTCACATACAGAGGTATTTCCGGAAATTAAGAGGCACATATTGGGGTTATACAACAGTGAAACTTCACAGAGGTCAGTTTATCAAAGCTAGACAGGCGAGAGTTAGATTATACTGTAATTGTGAGAACATGTGTCATTTAAGGATTTTTTAGAAGTATAGTTAATAAAAAGTTACAAATTTTTATTGTCAATGTAATTTTACTTTGTGACTTCAGCATAGTAAATACAGGATGCACAGTGTTAATTTTTCCAGTTGAATACTACTACCTTCAATATTTGTCAGATTCTGCACAAAAATACACCCTAAGACTGAGAAAAATTATAAATGTTCTCTATTTTTATCCAATACATTAAGAAAAAGTCAATAATTCAGAAGTCAAAAATCCAAACCAATGATAATCTGGATTTAATTCTGGTGAAGTGGTACTTCTCCCCCATAGTCACAAACAGTTTTTGCTGTTTTTCCATAAAATAAATTAATGTGAAAAATTAATAAATGAAATATCTGGAAAGTTTATAAATTTAACTTAAACATAAAAAAAAATATTCTAAAATGAAATGTTCTAATAAACATAAATGTTATTGCCTAAACAGTCTTTGTTTCTATTTATTTTTAAGTATTCAAAAAATTACTTGTTAGGTAACATAAAATCATTCCAAAATTGTATAACTGTATCATTTTTCTTTCTTACAAGAACAAATTATTTAATAATGTTTCTGAGAAAAATTTGTTACCACATTCTATTATGAAATAATTCGAATTTGGTAATAAATATTCCCTCTCATTGTTAAATGGAGATAAAATCTAGGTTATGGCATTGTGTTTTGCATTTATGGACAGAACATTACTAATAGACTCTGAAATAATTAAATTATTGAGTAATGTATTTGAGCAATTCCTTTAAAGATTATCCCTTGGCTGTAAAACTTGGAACAATTACAAAGGAGGGCAAAGGAGATGTGTACAGTTACGATGAAGATGACATGGTGGAGGATCCAAATCTTGCTCAGCATTTGGCTCATTTTGGAATCAACATAACCCAGATGGAGAAGGTTTGTTTGTCAATGATATTACTTGAATTTGCTAGCATGGATCAATACAATTTTGAATTTGCTTGCAGACCGATAAATCCATGCTGGAACTGGAAATAGATTTGAACCAGCAGACTGGTGAGTGGGGAACTCTGCAGGAAGCAGGGAGCCGACTGACTCTATTGTATGGTCCAGGATATACAGGATTAGTAAATCTTGGCAACTCGTGTTACCTCAACAGCATCATGCAAGTTGTGTTTACCCTTCCTGATTTTTGCAAGAGGTAATTATGATGTCTTGTTTTAAGGTTTTCTTCCATTGAACCTTGTTTATTCAGAGAAAATATTGCACATGATTAACATTTTACATGAACGTTGGTTTTTTTATACTTTCTGTAACCCATTTCTCCCTGAAGTGTGAATTGGTTGCTGTGTTCAAACTTGCTAACGTGGCTCAGGGCATTACTTGATGTTACTGCGGTGCCTCTGTCCTGGAAGTCATAGGGCTCGAGTCTTGGCAGTGGCAAAGTTTTCGACACTAACTACGTAGCTAGGTTGAATTTAGCTACCGTTTGGAGGAGAATTCTAGTGGCTTGCTGCTCTGATCAATAGTGTTCTGTGGTTTCTCTGATCAACACCAGGTGTATGTCAGAACAGTAATTAACAAATGGGCCATGGACCTCACTTTTCTTCCTCTTCCTTGTCACCTTTACTTACACACATTTACATCCACTACACTACCACTCCTGTCAGACCATCAGGGAGACCTAACGGAGGCTTAGAGCTTGTCTCAAGTGGGGTGGTGCATCACTGATGGGAGATACTTAGTTAGGGAAACCCTGCAGATGGACAGGTTGGTCAGCGCTGGATCTCATCATCCAGTGGGGGAATATCACTGCCATCTCCTGCGATTAAAAAACATGCCCTGCACTTGCAGGACTATTGACCTTAGTAGTTTATGCTCCTTGACCTGCTAATTATACTTCAGCATGCCTTTATTGCATTCTATTAATTTGTTTATAAGTCTACAGATTACTTTTATATCACTAAAATGGTTACTACAGGATAGTTCAGCTAATGAAAATTAAATAAATCCAGAATTCGAATTTTAATTTCATATTTGTTGATAGCAATTCCATTGTAAAAATATCTCCATACACAAAAAAGTATAAGTGATTTTGTACACCTGCTCCTATCATAATGAGAAATGCACATTGTTTGTACATTGGTCAACATTAATAACATAGTGGTGCTTCAGATCTATTGATCTGATGTTGCAGTTATTATTAGTTCCTTTTCCATAGTAGCCATTACAGCCAAACTTTTCACTATATTTTGAGTCGCCTTTTGAACTTAATGTGTTCTCTACACCATTAATTTCTTATTTATTACTAAATTGAACTTCTTGTACAATTACAGATTTGTAGATGGAGCTCCTGCTATATTTAATAGTGCACCATCTGATCCCACTTCTGACTTCAATGTACAAATGTAAGTTATATGCTTTTACTGACATTCTATGGTCTTTTGTGCTTTGGAATGACATATACAATGTCAAAAGGAAATTCAATTCGAATTTCCTAATATTCAATCAGTTGTAGAATCTGTGTTTTAACATTGCTAAGAATTTATACCAAAACATGACACAAATGTGTGTTTACTTTCGTGCAGTATAGAGAAAGTATGTAATACCAGAGGGAGGGGTGCAAATTTTCAGCAGAAAACTCCTATTCCAGTACCTTGGTAACAAAAATGTAGATAAAACTTCTCTGATTACTTCCTCTAAGACATGTTTTCAGAATCCATGTTCTGTGGGTCCTTGAAACCTTGAAATTGAAGGCAAAACATCACTCTATTGTCAATACTAGCACCTAAACAGCCAATTTTGCCCAAAATTGATATACCCTAATTGATCTGGCTGATGTTGCAGCCCCTTCAATTTCAAATTGATATTTTGATATTGGAGGGTTCTGTACATGAAGCCCCTGGAACATTTTCAAAACAAAGTTTCAAATTTTTTGATTAGATGTTGTCAGTTAGCATACAAGATTCTTAAAAGAATGGTGCAAGTCCCATTTTTGTTGAAATCCTGTTATTTTTTTAAATTGTTAATTGAAGTTAAATTTTCTTCCCCCTAGAACTAAAAAATTAAAGATAAAATTGTTTTCTTTAATAGAATCTGTTCTTTAAAAACAAGTTTTAAAATAATGTGTGGTAGAATATTTCCAAAATATTTGTATCTTTCATGTAACTCCTTTAAATTGTTTCCTTTAAATTTTCTCCTTGTATGTATCAAAGGATGTTAAAAAAATCTGTGTTTCTCATTTATAAACTCTTAATTTTTGAAAATTGCTAAATTATTACACTTAAAAAATAAAACAATTGAAGATACAGATTTCTGTCTTAAACAATTCTGTTCTTTCCATTTTTGTGGTATGGCAAGAGGGTATATTTTGAACATTTTTGTACTTGTAGTATTTTCCAGAGGTGTACAGGTAACTATGACTTTTTCCCCCTCCACATTGATTACATATGGCAATAGTTTTGAATATTGTTGTAAACAACCTACAATAGAAGATGAAAAAATTTCTAATAATAAAGTCAAATATAATGAAACAGTATTTCCTTGCCCCTCCCCTACTAATAGGATATTTAGTCTTTGTTTCTTTTTCACTTCAGTCTACTGTAGTATAAATGCCCTCATTTAAACCTCGATTAGCCCTTTGTTTCAATATCCAAGTTGTATTTTCAGTTTAATTGAATTTGATATGAACAGTCAGCTAGCTCGGTAATTATATATTTTTATATGTTTTTATTGATACAGGTAAACCCCCAATTACAAAATATTTTATATTGAATGTATTCAATCATGAGAAATCATTCAAAATTAAATTTTTCACAGCATTTTTTAATTTGCCAATGGAGGCAAAAATATCTTAATTATTACAATTTAGTCTACTATTCATCTTCCAAAGCAGTGCATAAAAATACTTATTTGTTCTAGCTATTGGTACGTCAAATTCATCTTATGATGTGTATCTCGTATAGGTGCAGACCAAGGAATATAAGAATATAGCTCAGTCAAATAATATGTCGATTAATCAAATTGTACAGGAATAATAAGTCAAAATAATCTCTCTAAGAGCTGATGGAGCGTAAATGTAAAATAACAGCAATTTGATTAAAATCATAAGTTAATCTTGGATATGGTAAATTTACCTTCCAAGCAGCAAAATTGAGAAATGTGTGTTGAACAGCTTCAAGATCAGAAATGAGAATGTTATAAAAAGGGGACCAAACTTGTAATGGTATCTGTATAAGTGCATGTGGTTAAGTCAGAGGGAGAGGCTGGTGTAAAGCAAATAATGGTTGGTCCACACTGAAGTTGACAGGGCACATGCAGATAATTTCTAAAGGTTTTGCTTCTTATAGAAAAAAATTGCTGATATAAACACTGTTTGGTGCTTTGGATAGCTCTAGTGTAAATATTTTGCAACACAAAAATTCGTTGTTTAGTGGGTTAATTTATGACGGATTACACATTAACTGTGAAACACCAATTCTGTTACCAAAAACAAGTAAATCAGACCAGTAAATCAAGTGATGATATCGAGTTATGGATAATACTTTATTGAGGTGACAGATGTTTGTTTTGAAAATATGATGTTTTTTCGTCTTGGTGACTTTAAATACAAATAAGTCCTTTTTCACCCTTTATACTGCTACTTATATGTGAGTCATACATGTGTTTTCTTCTAGGATCCAAACAACCAAACTACTTACTGTCAATTAGTAGCTGAATCAACTATTTGCTTCAGTAACCTCATTGTAAATAAGGGTATATGCTGTTTGAATTCATGCATTTTCTTTGACTTTTATATTATCTTCCAAATTTATTATTTTTAAGTTTTTATTTTTTTTTCTTCTTTAAGATAATTATTCCATTTGCTGTCATAAAGCTAATAATTAATTCTTCTAGATGTTTTGCACTGTCATACCCTTGTGCTTTGAAAGTGAATGTCTTTTTATCTCTAGCATCAATTTGTGTATTAATTCAATTTCAGGGCCAAACTTGGTGTAGGCTTAATGTCAGGAAAGTACTCCAGACCCCCAGCTGAGCCTGGTGTTGAAGATAGTCAACCTGGAATATCACCACATATGTTCAAAGCATTAGTAAGTCGTGGCCACCCTGAATTTTCTACAAAACGGCAGCAAGATGCACAGGAGTTTTTCATGCATCTTATAAATACGCTAGAGGTGAGATAATTTAAGTATGCTTTTTTAATGGATCCAAACAATTTCAACAAATTTGTTTTCAGCGAGAAAATAATGTTGTTGAAGTTGCTCACACAATTATTCTTTTTAACTATTGTTTGTACAATTATGTATTGCAGGAACCACCTGCTTAGGGTTACAGGAGTTTAGGACTCCTTTGTATTCTAGACTTTTGGCAATTGTTTCCCCACTTCCAGGGCCCTCTGTAAATTAACAGGTCATAGAAGATCTTATGCTTTTTCATGAAAGTTGGAGAAGACGACATGGCAAGCACCATACTTTATGTGCATATTTTCCCCAATATATATTGTTAATAAAACCATAAATTAATGGTACTCATTAATTAGTAAAAATCCCCAGCTTGGTAGGGGGTTTCATCATGGGTCCCTCAGGTTAGCAAACATGTGTTTTAACCACTAATCTGCTATGACCCATCAAATTATTTTTACTGGGGTAATCAAAGGTTTAATAATGATTAATCTTTGAATATTGTCAAAGTTAGTCAGGTTTTCACAGTGAAAAATATTCATTGCAGCTATCATTAATACCCAAAAATTGGAGTACAATATTCAATTTATTTGAATTTAATTTTGTTTCGTGAAGGTATGTAAGGGTTAATGTCAGTCAATCTCTATAATAATTGATTGTTACAGTGTGCTTCTTAGTTTTATTTTAATTTCATTGTCTATTATATCTCAGATGTTATTAACGGTTTGGGCAATGGAATGTAAACATCATATGTTGGGCCAAAGGCACAAAATAGTTTCAGGGAATAGTAAGAACTTGGGTCATTGGAACTTCAGTGCTGAGGACTCCATTGAAACTAAATGCTAAATGGACTATAAATAAGTTATTAAGATTTTTTTTAAGCGAGAAACTTTCAGCTTCAGCATTTGGTAATACTGTACCATACACTCTCAAACGTCAGTACAAAAGAAAAATTTCAGAGTGTGGATAATATAAAAATTATACAATTGAAATTATTCATGTATTGTGTACCATACAGGTATACCATGGAGACCATGGAGTTTATTTAACGAAATTATTCTTCTTTACATGAATTTTCAAAGTATAACTGGATTATTTTAAATATTGTGTTTTTGTGTTGGCAGAGGCACAGTCGTCACCAGCAAAATCCATCAGAATGTTTCAAGTTTTCTGTTGAGGACCGCTTCCAGTGTTCGGTATCAAAGAAAGTGAAGTACACCTATAGGGCTGAGTATAGTTTGCCCTTGTCAATACCTTTGGATGCAGCTACCAACAAGGAAGAGGTGGCAGCATATGAAGCTCGTCGAGCAGAGATGGAAGCTAGGGGGCAGCGCATGTTAGTATTGTTTCTGGAGTTGTATTTGTGTTTAAAAAAATTTCACTAAATACCTTTTAGTTCTAGTTACTTGTGACTTCACAGTTGTTCCCACATTTTAAAGTACTTCAAAAAATATTTGTAATAAGAAGTTCTTTTATATCTGTTTTTTGAGTCATAAGGTTCCAATTATAGATGATTATTTATTCTCTTCAAATATTTTCCTCAAATTTTATGAGAACTTTAAATATTGAAGTATTAGGGATGAAATCTATTAATGAAATTCTCAGAGAGCTCCTTTCTTTTTGCAGAGATCCAAATGAGTTGGTGAGGCCTCATATCAAATTGTTTTCCTGCTTGGAGGCTTTCACTCGACCTGAAACTATTCCTGGTTTCTATAGTACAGCAATAAATGACAAGACCACCGCACAAAAGTTAGTATTGTATGTTGCAACATAATGATTAAAAGCCATGATATTTTATATTTATTTTAAACTTTGTAATAGATGATAATAATAATAATGTTAACCTATTATAAAATGTTTAAATGCTTCTGTTCCGTGTTTGTTGAAAATGCGAGTTCAATTCAATACTTCCAGTTTTTTAATTGTCTGAAATATTAAAGACTGGTGTACAGTGTTCCATTATCATAGAATGTCAAGAAAGTTATGAATTGAAAATAAAGGAGTATACATTGTTCTACATCTGATTTATAGAACTACTCGTCTGGCTTCATTTCCTGATTATTTGCTTCTTCACCTAAAGAAGTTTACGTTGCGAGAGGATTGGGTGCCAATCAAGCTTGATGTGGCAGTGGAAATGCCAGATACCCTAAACTTGGATGCACTGCGAGGCTCTGGGCTGCAGCCTGGGGAAGAGTCATTACCAGAGCTGACGGAGGCTCCTGCTCCAGAGTTCAACCAAGCCCTGCTTGCTATGCTAGTGGACATGGGCTTCCCACTAGAAGCATGCAAGAAAGCTGTGTATTTCACTGATAATGCTGGGGTAGATGCAGCCACTGCATGGCTCATGACCCACGTATCAGACTCTGATTTCTCTGATCCCTTTGTACCTCCTGGGACTGATCGCAAACAAGGTATACAAAAGTATTTGTTTTTCTCTCTCTTTTATTAACAGCAATTTTTTCATTCTAAAGCATTTGCATATCATAGATTCAAAACATTGTTCATGCACAGCGTGTTAAAACTGGTGGTGTTAAAAGAGCTCATACTTCCTCACCTTTAGAAATGGTTATGTAATACCATTTATACCACAATTTTTCTCACAATTAACACATCACAGTTATGATATTTTGTATAACTCATTTGATATTGTAGAATGTTTGGTGCGAAAATACATAGTTTGAAGCAATAGATATTTATTCAAAACTTTAAATGAACAAAATTTTCTTGCATTGAATTCATTGTTTAAGGCTTGCCGTTTACAAACATATTGGATGAGATTTTTTGCCTTGCAATATTCTTTGTAAGAAGTATGTGGAAAAGTAAAATAATTAAAATTTAATAAATAATTTGTTAAACTCATAGTGTTGTTAAAAAATGCAAATAGAAGAGATCAGAAATATATAAGCGTAACAACAATGACCTCTAATTCATATGGGATTCACACTTTGCCAATTAGCATTGTTGATACTGCTAGCAAGAAAATGAAATGGATAGAAATATAATATTTAAATATGATATTTTTTATATTCATCAAAATTACTGTTTTTACAGGCATTACTGTTGATTTCCACATCTTATGAAGCAAAGCGAAATCATCTTTTGGTTTTCACATTTAACGCAATTAAAGGACGCAATTTGAAATGAAATAACATAAGTATTGTAATAATAATAGTAATAAAAATAATAATAATAATAAAAAAAATATTATTAAAAAAATTAATATAAAATAAAATATGAAATAATATACAAATTCTAACATGTGTAGCATGACTATTATTTTACATTCACTAAGTGCAGAAAATTGGAAGTGGACGATTAATGTTTGATGCCATATTACATAAAAAAATACTCATATTTTCAAAAAATTTCATGAAAAATCAAATGACTTTTGAAGTTGTATTTTGATGAACACATTTCATTTTGAAGGGGTGAGAAAGTATGTGCTGTTTTAGCTCCACTAGTTTTGGTAATAACAACCTGTAAAATATGGATTTTGGTTTCACATGTTTTGTTTTCTAAATTTAGCATCTGTATTTATACACTTTTTCATTGCCAGGGCTCTGTAATTAGACTTTTCTGTTGCAAATTCACCATTTTTTTCACACATTACACAACATTCTCTCTACCGTGGTAGTAGATAGTAGAAAGTAAAATAGTATACACAACACATGCGTGAGGATTTGTGTGTTGTTTCTTGCTTATGGGTGGGAGACAAACTCTTCTCTTGTGCAAATCACTTGTTTTGCAATTGTTTCACATTATACTACTTAATTACACATGAAGAATTTTGAAGTTTGATTTACTAGAACACTTAAGTTCAGCACTTCAGTTTGAGGTTGTAATTGAACTCAGGACATTTAATATGTTGATATTAACTCAATATTATGTTATTCAGTATCATAGAACACAGTATAATGGACATTGAGCACCATGAAAATTATTTTGTAATTTACTACTCCTTAAACACAGATCTTATTCTCTGGAATCGATTGATAGTGGGACAAAAATGACAAAAGTGAATCAGTTCACAGTGATCAAAAGTAAAAGAATTTTATATGCCTGGAAATATTGAAAAATTGTCTAGAAACTATCATTTTTGTGTTTCAGTACAATATTTTCTTCCCATTTTAACATAGAATTTCAGCTGCATACTGCTTCCTTCATTATTATGAATTGCAGTGTATGAATAATGAATTTGGGAAATATTTAACCTGATATGCAAATCAAGTTAAAAACAGATCATATTAACTGAGCAGTGTTTATACAACTAGATCAGAGAACAATGTAATTACGTTACAATCTCTATTCATGTGTATAAAGATGATGCATTCATTCAGTGCCATTCCTCTGTTCTGAGCTCTTGAGTTCTTGTTTTGAAATTGAAGTTACACGCACTACAATTAAATATAATGTTGATTTGTTTGCTCTTGTGGAGGAATTTCATTAAGACTTGATTTGCAGGTGCAAAGAATTTCATTCCTAATGAAGAAGCTCTTGTTATGCTCACATCAATGGGTTTTACAAGAGCTCAGGCCACAAAGGCTCTCAAAGCTACTGACAACAATATTGAGCGTGCAGCTGATTGGATCTTCAACCACCAGGCAGAGTTAGATGCTGATGAGGCCCCTGTAGGGGCTACGCCTGCAGAACCTGCCTTCCGAGATGGCAATAGCAGTAAGTTAGAGACTACTTGCAGGGTTTTTTTTCTTTTTCTCCGCTTTTCACATTTTTACTACATTGGAACCTGCTGAAACTCAATTAAGCCCCCAGTGTCAGTGACCAGTTGCAACTTGTAGATTTACCTGTATTGGTCACAACGTAATGATTTTGAGCTGGGACATTAAAAAAAGTGGAATAAGGGTTACTGTTGATTCAGTATCCACCATCATTGAGACACATTTTCAAATAACTTTGAACCATATTTACAGTTGCTAATTTCTCAAGGGATTCAATTTCGACAGTGTTTAACCAGCAAATTAGTAAAAACAGTATGAGTAATTTGCAGTCCAACAATAAGTTCTTGGCTGGTGAACCTTGCTGTCAAAGTGTCTCCAGAACTGATGTGGGCACCCATGGGAGGAAAAATTGATCGTTCTTTTCTCTGTTGCACTCTGTTTATAATATAAATGATAAGTTAGGCATAATTGTTTCCACATATAACATTTAGCAAGTATCACCTGAACAATTTTATTAAATATAATCTTACTGTGTAATATTTTTAGTATCATTATTCTTTAGAACATGATGTGGATTTGCTGAATTTACTTGTTCACAAAAATTGTTACCAGTGTTTTATTGTCAAATTGCAATCAATGGTTTTGCCCTCAGATATTGCTATCCCATTTATCTAGTTAGGAAGTAAAACAAATGCAACAAGGAAAGATTCTGCTGTTAAGCATTTTGTAGTTTCTAGTCACTTAGAATTTATTAATATAAAGAACATGTGTAAACCATAGAAAATTTTACTTAGAGATTAATAATAGTTAAGAAATCTTGTAGTTTCTTTAGTATGCAAGAATTGCATCCCTCCAAATCTCTTCAAAGTCATATTATTATTACTACTATGCAACGTTGTCATGTATATAACTTTTTTGTTTCAATTTTTTCAGTGTACCGTCTAGTAGCATTCATTTCACACATGGGTCCATCTTCTATGGTGGGCCATTATGTGTGTCATATTCTAAAAGATGATAAATGGGTTCTCTTCAACGATAACAAAGTGGCTCTGTCAGAGAATCCCCCAAAAGAATTGGGTTACCTCTACCTCTATAAACGAATGTGAAATGGAGGCATCGAAGTCTGCGTCTCATCTGTAAGTGAATATATTGCAAGTTATCACTCCAATTTAATTATTTCAACTGCACTGGGTCAGAAGACATATTGCAGTATTCAAAATGAACATGGCTTGAAAGTTTGCTATTTAAATATGGAATTTATATAAAACGTGAAAGATCACTGCATTTATTGATTTTTTAAGAAATTAGTGTTTTATTTCACACATAATGCAAAGTCTTTTGTGGATATTTGATACGTCTTCACTTTCAAGTGGGTTGTGTGTTTGTTGTTGTTGTTTTTGTGTTTTTTTTTGTTTAGAAAATGATGTTTATTGGTGTTGTATGGACTTCGATTTGTTTGATTCATCTAGTTTGTTCTAATAGGAATGTCTTGATCAGTTTTTCCTGCAAATAGTTATGTATGGGGCAAGCGTTTTGGAAATCTTAAATATGTATTTTTATACATTTCATTGCCTTAACTATTATGCAAATATTAGTGATTACAGACTTCTGTATATAATGGAAAGTAAATGAGGTTTATGAAAATACTGGATGTACTCATATATAAAGTAAGATTGCTTAATGCAAACAACATATTTATTTGTCAACTGATACAAAATTAAGTGTAAACAATTTTTATATTGTATAAATTACTGTAAAAAATTGACAATAAATGTATTGGTTATATCAGTCTATCAATTTCTTATAATTATTTATTGAGGAAAAGATTCAATGTACATTAGTTGGAACTGTTTTTTAAATGGCATTATAGGATCTGCGATTTACAAGATTGTCAGAGCACTTGTGGGGAAACGTAATTCCAGCTAATAAAATATCTTGAAGGCCTTTGAGATCTTTAATACATGGCACTAAAACACTCACAATCAAATAGGGCACAAAACACAAAGATGCTATCCACCATGATATGAGAATAAGAACCACAAACCAGAAGATAACATTAAAGGCCTCTGCTCCTCCTTTTCCAGCTCCCATTTTTGTTTGTGAGCTGAAACAGACAAAAAAAATGTTATTAAAAAATATGACAACTTTCTCAATACTACAGCATCATTTTTGTAGTTTCCTAATTTATTGTACGTATTGTATGTACTCAGTTGTAATAAGTTGTAGCTGCAAATTATAACTGAGCAAAATCAATAGTAATAATAGCCGGTTCAATTAAGAATTATTTATTTGTTTGTTTTTTTAAAATGTGGATGAAAAGATTACTATTGCCTTTTTCAACAGTTATTTTTCCTTTTTTCAATCACATAGTTATTTAATTGTAGTGCCATGTATATTCTTGAATTTTATCCTTCTGCACGTACAGTATAGCCAAAGAATTGAAATTGTTCCAAAACAAATCTTTATTATTTGATGAACAATTTTGATTTCTCTTCTCAGTTTCAGCCTAGCAAATAATTCAACAGTAATATTTAAATCAATATTGTTCACACCATCTCTTTCTACATAAGAGATACTGAAATCATTCAGCGTTTCTTCTGGCATTGTAGCATGTCAAAATCTTTTTTTCTTCCAAATTAGCTCGCTCTTTATTCTGTACGTGATGAGATAGCTCATATTGCTAAAAATAAATGTAAGGCTGCGGCTATCTGGAAAAATGTCCAGATTCTATTAATTTCTACATCAAAATATTAGAAAGGATCATCAAAGTTCGTATTTGAGAAACAAATAATCATTCTTATGGTCAGTAGTGAAAAACGCTGGATACATTCGCTTCAAATTGTAATCTTTTCCTTTCTTCTCATTTCTGGTTACGGCAGTTTTGCAATTTTGTTTACTCACTATCATTGACTTTTGCAATTTTGAAGAGTAAACTCACCATCATCATCCACTTTCTGTTAGTATTTTGATATTTCAGACAAAAGAATTGTACTTGGTGTCATCTCGTTAATGTCACTTCCCTTGAACACTGTTCAAACTCATTCTTGGACTATTAAAAGTTCATTATTTATTCTTTAGTTGTATATGAGTAACAATTATTGATAGTACAAAATGCCATTATGTAAAACTGAATGGAAACAGCCAAATAATGTCATTATAAGAGAAGTGGCATTCATAATCTCATCTTCAGTTTCTGTTTTCATTGCAGTCTCTTCTTGGAAGTCAGTGAAAAATGGACTCTGGATTTTGGACTACTGCATCTATTGCTTTAAGTTGCATGGACTATCTGGTCGTACAATTGTGTCCTTTGATGTGGAATCTTTGTTCTTGTAATTGTTTTCTAATGAATTATGAAAGAAATAGACAACTTTTTAATATAATATTGTTAAAATAATTTTCAATGTACTTTTTTATTCAAAATAAATTTAAAAGGAAAAATTGAAATACAAAGTGCAAATACACTAAAAATTTCATTCAAGAAAGGCCCGTTGTTCTGATGGCGTAGTCTCCTAATGCTGAATGCTGTGACGAATTTAATCTGCCTCTGTCTATGGGGCTTGAATGTATGAAAGAAGCATGCAATCAGAATCTGCATATCATCTGTATGTAAATTGTCCAGCATGTTGACTGGTATGCTTTAATAAAGATGTATGAGCTCGTCTATCTTGAGAGTGAAGGAGAGATGACAAAGTAGATGATGTATATGTTAAGCAGGAAGTGTTGATGGCCTATCTCAGTCAGCACCTGTTCCTTCCGAAAGAAGTAATGTCATTCCAGTATTCCCAGTAGTGTTTTGGACTGTAGAGGATCAATGGAGCTTGTGAGATTCGGTCCACATCCTGCTCACCCCTGCCACTACATCCTGCATACAATCATGTCAATTTATATATAATTCAAATATTTACGAAACGAATTTGTAAATATTTGAAAACTCGCGCTCTAACGTTGGTCGTTTTCAAACGTGTATTCATGCAATAAATATAATAAACATTATAAACTAATTGCATAAACTACTATGAAACAATGATTCAAATCCAAAATAGCATTTGTTTCACTGAATTTTAGCTCTATAACCCTTTCTTGAGCTACCTACCACTACATAATGAAAAGTGTTATCTTGTGCAGACGATTTTCTTTTTACTTTCTCACCCTTACTCCATAAGGTATTGTAATCGTGCGCCGGAAAACGGCATCAGAAAAACGTATTGCCAAGGTAATGAAAAAGTGGATAATATTGTTCCAATATGAGTGAAGTCATGTACAATTTTTCGAAAATAGTATTTTTCGCCTAATTTTATGTTACATACAGGCAAATATAAAAAAGGGTTTTAAACAATTATTTTCTCAAAAACTGCCCCAAAATTCTTCTTTAAATTACCTCTTCATAAGTATCAAATGACAGTAAAAAATGTGGAGCTATTTTTATTTCCGGCAAACTCGATATTTTCGAAAATAGTAAAAAAGTTTAAATTACAAAGTTGAAGATACAATTTTTTGCCTTAAATTCTGTTCTAAATATATCAGCTTTTAAAAAAAGGCCATGTACAATTTTTTTAAACATCATTTTTGCATAATTTTTGCTCAAAATCAGTGCAATTTATTTTAAAAAATGCAAAAACTGCTCCAAATCGTTTCTTAACTTATTACTGAATACTAATAGAAGAATGGTGCAGTTCTCATTTTCGTTGAACTTCGAATTCTCGAAAATTGCAAATTCAGAAATAATGTGAGAAAGTCTGTGCTGTTGAAGCACCTCTAGTTTTATTTCCAGTTTCTATTTTAAAAATGTTTTTAAATTATTTTAAGGGTCTTCATTATGAATTTGGTCCCTCCCTGAAATACTTTCTGGATCCGTTCTTGATTTCGTCTCGCACCTTCGTTGGCCTCGGATATTTGGTTGTTTCTAGAAGCTTATTTCTTGTTAGGTTTTCGCACCCTCTCTTACCGAATCCTTTCCTAACCTGATTGTCGCCGATTGTAAATCTCAGTAAGTGGTAGTAGCTCTTGTGTGTTTCGTAAGAGGAAGACAGGTCATGGGCATGAACTGCTTTAAATGAAACATGGAACAAATTCAGAATGCGGATCCCAAAGATCCGCTCGATCAGGTTTTGTTCAGTTTCCCTGGTCCTTAGAGCAAATGCTGAGATGGCCCCTTGTTTGCTCCTGAACAGTAACTTCGCTCTCTCCACCCAAGGCATCATATTGACTCGTCATACACGATTGTTATTGTATATGTGACTCAATAAATATTATTATTATTATTATTATATTAGATTCGTCGACTTGCGTTGAGAGAAAAGATACTTATCTGTTCATTTTGTCTTATAACTGGTTTTCGAGTGCAAGTTAATCAATGTTTGTAAGAATATAAATGTGAATAACTTGTACGTGTTAATCACAGACCACGTTCCAATTTGTTTTGGCCCCAACTACTGCCACTTGACTCGATCACTTGACAACACACAGTAATGTGTGCAGGCGCACAGCGAAAGCAGCTGCCACCGGGTATACCATTTTATGAAATTTGGCATTAATTTTATTTTTACTTTGTCGTATACTACAAACATATGGAGTAACGTACGTAGTATACAAATAGTAATGCAATGCGGAAAATAGATTTCAAAGGAAATACACGCTTTGGGATCCGCTGATACAGGAAAGGTGTTTGTTTGAAAACGTCAGCCCATCAGTCTGTCAAAACAACTATAGCGTGAAAACTATTACCTGAGGATTTTTTCCAAAATTAATCTACCCTGGTCGATTTGGCCCGACTGGAAAAATTTTGTAAAACATTCTTTAAACTTTGGGGGGCGCTTTACAGGAAGGCCCTAGGACGTTTTCAAATTTTTTCGTAGAGTTGTCAGTGCCAACAGACACGCACCACTGCGTGCAATAACCACATAAACGTGGGACATGCGACGAACATATTCAATAGGAGAGTACGGCGAAATATGGCTTTAATAGGTTATGGCAACAGAAGACCGATTCCAGTGCCTTTGCTAGCAGAACGTCGCCTACAGTCTCTCCTGGGCTCATGGCTAGAGACCGGATTTTTATGTAATTACTAGAGTACTTTACATTTACTTTCTTTTCACTTTATAAAAATGCTGATTAGTATAGAAATCCATTTTATGACAAAAGGATATGACCCATTTTTATACGTCATTTTTTTTGCATTTTTCATTGAGTTTGACTAATACGTCATTTTTTACATTTTCCCGTCACTTTTAATGCATTTTCTCCCAATTTCATCGATTTTAATGTAATTTAAGTGGTGCTTGCATTTAAAAGATCTATGTTCGATCCATAAACGTTCTCCACAGAATTTCTGAGTACCTTTACCTGGCAGCCAATTCGATTTCTTCGCTCAGAAATTGTAATGTCAGTCATTGTATGTAATTAAGGTTCCTGTGACGCCTGTCAGTGCCATTGGCGGTTCAGCCGATTTCGGGATAACTAAAAACGAGATTTTCTGTTAAAAATTAGTCCAAACCAAAAGCAAAGTTTACTTGAACGAATAGAAGATGCCTCGATTACATCAGTAACGTAACCAACAGCTTGAGTTTTTCATCCTAAGTGGTTGTGAATACAATTTTACGTCATTTTACTTTGCTTTTAGGGCATTTTTACATTTTAATAGCATTTTATTGATAATTTTTGGCGATGATTTAGGTAATCAAAATCCGACCCCTAATAATTACATATTTTTGTCTTTCTACTCACCGTTCTCAAAATTGTAATCTTGGCAAATCGTCGCCGCCCAACATAAAATCCAATTTTTTGCTATATATTTTTACATATTTAGTACTACATTATATATTTTACATATTTTTACAAAATATCTTCTTCTCCTTCACTTTCACTATCACGCCTACTGAGAGCTTGTTCTGTAAAATAAATATTTACTTCAGTTTTTATTACATTTTTATGGAGAAAATAAGGTTAAAAAATCAGCATTTTCCCTACTTTATTACTGCATGCTGTCTACTCCAGGTACGCTACGTGAAGAAGCGGTCAAATATTCTCTAAGTCCGGCGCGCCTGCTTCAGTTATCTCAGTGGCAGGAAGTGCGACCGAGGTCAATTTCACTTTTAGGTATGCAGA